TCAAGAGTCCCTAATTGATGAAGTCGACTCAGATTTTGACCTGTAAAAAAGTATGGAAAAAGAAAAATCAAAAACACTTTTCTTCAAGACTCGGAAAGTGACGAACCAAAGGCAAATAAGATTGTTATCATGCAGCTGCAAAAGAAGAAAAATGGGGGGCGAGTATACAGCAAGAGACACTTCTGCCTCTACTGTTCAATGTCCTGCCACAAAATGTCCCGTCATTTGACTAGAAAACATGGAAATGAAAGTGACGTAGCCAGAGCATTGGCTCTACCTGTGAAATCTAAAGCACGTAAACTTCAGTTTGATTTGATCAGGAATAGTGGAAACCGTGAGCACAATTTTGAGGTTTTAAAGGCCGGCATTGGAACTTTAGTCCCAGCTAAACAGCCAAATTTCCCAGTTAAATCCAGTGAGTTTTTGCACTGTATAGACTGTGGGGCATTGCTTAAGCGAAAGTCGCTGTGGAGGCATGTGGCCAGGTGCCGGCTTTCACAGAAAGATGCCCAGGCTAAACCAGGTAGAAGTAGGGTCCAGTCCCTCTGCTCCCTAGCCCAGCCTGTACCGGAGGGCATCAGCAAAAAGCTGTGGTCTTTAATTTCGGCAATGCATCAGGATGAGGTCACGGGTGTTGTCAAAGCAGAAAAGGGGATTCTGAGACTCGGAGAGCACCTGTACTTAAAACACGGGCATGATAAGACTAAGCATGATTACATTAGGCAGAAAATGAGAGAAGTCGGTAGGTTAATTAACGAAGCAAAAACCGCAGGGAAACTGAAAACAATTAAGGATTTCTTTATTCCTTCCAACTTTAACCATGTGATTGATGCAGTCAGGTCTGTGGCTGGATATGATGAGGAAACAAATCAATACAAGACTCCATCCTTGGCCCTCAAACTCGGCCATTGCCTCAGAAAGCTAGCAGATATTCTTGAATGTGACTCAAAAATGGAGCATTGTGTTGATGAACTATTTATTAAAAACCTCCAACGAAGCCGGCTGCTTTTTGAGAAGAGGTGGGACGTCTGTGTTTCTTCTGCTGCCCTACAGATCCTCCGGCAAGCCAAGTGGAACACTCCGGACCTGCTCCCTCTGACTGAGGACGTTAGAGCCATGCATGCACATATTGAGGTATGTCGACCTGAATATGTGCAAACCCTAATAAGTGAGCCAACGTCTAAGCATTGGTCTAAACTGGCAGTTTTGACTCTTTGTGAGGTCATTATTTTCAATCAAAGAAGGGAAGGTGAGGTTTCAAAGATGCCACTGACAGCGTTTACCTTAAGAAGTAAGACTGGGATCCATTCTGACATTGCTCTGGGACTGTCCCAACTTGAGAAAAAGCTGTGTCAGCATTTTCAACGCATTGAAATTAAAGGGAAAAGAAGTCGGAAAGTGCCGGTTCTTTTGACTCCTGAAATGATTGCGTCGATGGAGGTGCTGGTGGAGAACAGAAGGGCCTGTTCCATCTCTGACCATAACCCATACTTCTTCTCCCGCCCGGGCGCAGACACCCACATCAGGGGATCAGACTCCCTACGCCAGGTAGCCAAAGAATGTGGTGCGGTGCATCCAGAGATGCTATCCTCAACCAAACTTAGAAAGCACATAGCTACTATGTCTACAGTTCTCAATATGAAAGAGAATGAAATGGACATACTTGCCAACTTCCTCGGCCATGACATTCGCATCCACAGGCAATATTACAGACTACCAGAGGGGACACTGGAGCTGGCCAAAATCAGCAAAGTGTTGATGGCCATGGAGCAGGGAAGAGTGACGGAATTCGAAGGAAAGAGCCTCGACCAGATACAAATTGAGCCTGAAGGTAATTCTTGATATTATTAAAATATGTATGATTTTTTTCCCCTAAAGGCCACTTGTATTTTTATTTTCTGTGCGACAGGGAGAGCAGTAGAGATCCTCTCACAAACGGACGGGCTAAAAGAAACTTCAAGCGGAGAACCTTCAACCATTCATCCAGATGCACCCCATGGTAGTGGCAGTGCCCCTTCTGGTAAGTGTACCAGGTGGGGGATTACAGCCAGGCTGCTTGGTCCTAACCCTGGGAGTGTATATTGCTAATATATTTTTATTTCTCTCCCTAGAACGTATAAGAAAGCCATGGTCTGCATCTGAGGTGAAGGCTGTGGAGAAGACCATGACACCTTTCATACAGACTGGAAAAGTCCCTGGGAAGTCTCACTGCCTGGCCTGCATTAATGCCTCACCAGATGACCTTAGACATCGGACATGGAGTGGCATTAAATTCTATGTCAAAAATAGAATCACTGCAATTCGAAAAAAAAATCTAAAATAAAATTCCTTTAAAAGAGTTGTTTGTTTTCTATTGACTGTTTTGTATTACTTAAAGTAGTCCCAGTAAAAAAAGATTATGTCTATGGGTCCCATTCTGAACGGCCCTGTCAAAGGGACCCACCAGGTAACAAAAACGTGTATGTGTGTATGTGTGTGTGTGTGTGTGTGTATGTGTGTGTCTGTCTGTGTCTGTGTGAGTGTGTGTGCGTCAATGGTTGGTGGTGGTCGGAGGGGCTGTTGGCACATACTGTACTGGCTGCCTCGCTTCTGTCAGTGTGCCCCAGGGCAGCTGTGGCTACAGTGGTATTTTATCCCCATCGTGTATGGAGTGAGAGAATAATGACATGCAAAGCGCCTTTGAATGTCCAAAAAAGCACTATATAAAACTGATGCATTACTTTGATGATTATGTTTGGATGTTTCATGGATTGTGTTCTGTGATGGAGGTGGTAACCGTGGCAACACAGGTATCTGTAATCAGGTCTTTCTTGTGTTAAATGTATATGCAGTTTACAAGTTCAAGCTGGAGTGCCACTTTTCTCCTCCTTATCTTATTAAAATCATGATATATTTTTCATACTTGTAAAAAAGAATTACCCTGAAAGTCACTATTTGACGCTTTGGGCTGAATGATGATTGAATGAGGGAAGCTGGTCCTCTCTTTTTCACTGTTCTGTCTGACAAAGTTGATCTATAGATGTGAGACAGAGGCCAAAAATACATAATAATAATACAACATCGGTTTTATATAGCGCTTTTTTGGACACTCAAAGACGCTTCACGTGTCATTATTCATTCACTCCCTACACAGTGGTGATAAACTACTACTGCAGCCACAGCTGCCCTGGGGCACACTGACAGAAGCGAGGCAACCAGTATGTGCCATCGGCCCCTCCGACCACCACCAACCATTCATACACACACCAGACTCATTCTAGGCAATGGGGGTGAAGTGTCTTGCCTAAGGACACGAAGGCAGTTTGGCACTTTACAGCCGCAGCCGCCCCACTGTGGCTGGTGTTCCCAGAGGTTAAGTGTCTTGCCAAGGACACAACAACAGTAGTCAGTGGGAGTTGATGGTGAAAGTCTTGAGCGGAGCTTGAACCCACGACCTTCTGGCTCAAAGGCCAACGCTCTACCAACTGAGCTACTGCCGCAAACAATTGTCAACACTTTCAAAATACAGTGCTTTCTGAAACTAAAAGCTGCAACTTTTTATTTGTTATGGGGCGACACATTTGCGTAAATAAAAGCACCACCTCCAGACAAGGCCTAATGGAGTTTGCATGTTCTCCCCATGTCTGCATAGGGGGTTTTCTTCCGTTCTTTGGAGAAAATGGAATAAATGACTATTTTTATTACTTTTATGTGACTATGGTCTGTGAAAAGCGCTGTATAAATAAAGATTACTTGTGTACTTATTTTACCTTGTGGCTTATACAGAAATGTAAAAGCCACAGGGTGTGATATAAATCACTAGAACATGCATGTTCTAGTGATTTAACCAGATTATTTTGGGAGCAAGGGACGAGTGATATGGATTTTATAGTTTCATAAATCAAACTTGTTTGAAAGTTAGGTACCACTGACTGCCACTGGATTACACAGGAAGAACACCTGCATCCAGCACTCCAGGCAAAACTCTCGGTCCAAGTGTAAGTCAAAGAAAACTGTCTCTTTCTCTGATGACTGTGTTGTGTACAGTGTTTTAAGCTAACCACACAAATACAAATTAAGTTTCATCTCATCAGTTGGGAGTTATAACAATCTTCAGTACCTTCTGGACTTTTGAGCGCACCAGCATATAAACATTATTATGTTCACATAAAGGCCTCACTTGATTTTTTTTTTGCAGAAGTTCATGTTGTAATGTGAGACTGAACCAACAGCTGAAGAAAACAATAGACGCCTGTTTCAACACCACATGATTAAACCCTTGTGATCAAAGCGTTCTGGTAACTCTATTTTGACAATAACACTCCCACTAAAGTTTGATCCATCAACACGGCCCTTTTTACATAAAACAAGTCCTGTGAGTTTCTCTGGTGTTTCTGCTGTTCACATAAACACACTGAGAAGCAGGAATGTGTTCTACTTCCTGAGCTTTAGAGATCAACCGCTGATAGAGCTGAGTCCAAATCCCTTCCTGCTCTCCAGGGGGCGCTCTAACACAATAAAAACAAACACATTTCTGTATAAGCCACAGGGTAAAATAAGTACACAAGTAATCTTTATTTATACAGCGCATTTCACAGACCATAGTCACATAAAACGCTTTGCATTTATGGAGTAATACAAATAGTCATTTATTCCATTTTCTCTAAAGAACGAAAGAAAACCCCCTATGCAGACATGGGGAGAACATGCAAACTCCACACAGAAAGGCCTTGTCTGGAGGTGGAGCACAAACGATAACCACTTATGCCAATGTTTTCCCCAGTACAAATAAAAAGTAGCCGCTTTTAATATTTTGAAAGTGTTGACAATCGTCTGCGTCACCTTTTTATGAAACCAGACAGAAACCTTACAAAAGCAGTCATCTCTTGAGATTTCGTAACGACAGAAAACTGTGACTAATGAGACTGTGTAGCACAAGTAAGGCCCTTGTTTTAGAGCACGTCCAGATAAGAACATGCTTTTTTTCTCCTGCAGATGATTGTGGACACAGCGAGAGGACGATGGCTCATGGTTTCTATCTGGTTTACGGGTTGAGTTTGTGTCTCAGCTTGCTCTGTGCTCTGTTTGTGGTCAGCTGGAGTCTGCACTGGAGAGGTGGCTTTGCCTGGGATGGATCACCACTTCAATTCAACTGGCATCCGGTGCTCATGGTGTCTGGACTAGTGATTATCTACGGAAATGGTAAGTCTGTACTCTTTAAGTTGGGCAAGGCAAGTTTATTGGTATAGTACAACTCACACAACTCAAACAAATGCTGAATAAAACAGGTTAGAATAAGTCACACATGGCATTAAAATCATAGATAAACCCAGTACATTAAAGGGAGCTGTGATTAAATCCCACAGTTGTATTCACAGTCAGATTTGTTTTCAACCTGGATTTGAAGCCTGTCTCACATTTTCATGAAGACGTATAGCTGCGTGAATCTGAAATGCAGCCTCCTGGTGTTTAGTCCTGACTCTGGGCGCTAGAGTCAGCACCCTTTGGCACTAACAGGTCACATAAAAGTCTCTCCATGGCCTTGCACCAAAGTACGTCCGTGATATGTTAGTATGGAGCCATATGAACCAAGTCGGACTCTGAGGCACAAACGGGGAGGCAGCATTTCAGATTTAGGCAGCAAAAATCTGGAAAAGTCTTCATAAAAATGCGAGACAGGCATCTACTCTGACAACATTCAAATCAGTTAAAAACAGTTCTGTGCATACAACTGAAGAATTGCGTCTTCACTCTCCAATGTGATTATTTATAATGTAAATGCCTGGTCTGATCTGAGTGTTTCTCATTTTGTTTTGTTCTGCACTTCGAGTTTCCTTGTGTATGAACTGTGCTATATGATTAAACTTGCCATGCCTTTATTTTTATTGCACATTTCACAGGTCAATCAACGCTCTTCACAAATCTTGAGAGAATTGGACTATTTAGTATTCATCCAAATGTAGCTGAGTCTGAATACACACTGAATGAACTAATTTTCATTAATGGCTGGAAGGTACTCTGTTATTTTTACATGTGAAACCACTCAACTCTAGATATAATAATAATAATAATCATAATAAACTCAAATCAAATTCAGACCCATTCTCTTGGCCTCTGAGATAATTAGAAATATCTCAACAAGTGTGTACTGGTTATAGTTGTGTACTGGTTGTGTTTTTACAGGTGCTGTTGTGTATCGCATACCGTCCTCGTGGAAACAGAGGAAGCTGGTTTGTAAACTGGTGCATGCTGGGATGATGCTGGTGGCTCTCCTGTTGTCAGGGCTGGGTCTGAGTGCGGTCTTTGACTTCCACACTAGCATCAGCATCCCACACCTGTACTCAGTGCACAGCTGGGTGGGCATCAGCACCGTGCTCCTGTTCTCCTTTCAGGTAATCGGTATAAACAAGAACATATACTCGAGTACTTATCTCTGTGTAGGTTGTGTGCTCTTTGTGTGCTCTTACTAGTGTCCTGTATGTGCGCTGCTACATTGAAATGTCCCCAATATGGGACGAATAAATATTCTAAGATGAAGAGATCCTTTAATTATCCTATATACTGTATATGGGGACAAATATTTAGTTGTATGTACTGTATGTATGTACTGTATTTCAATGTGTGGGTATTCTAGATTGAATGTATTATATATAATTTACTTTGCACTGAAACTGAAACATTTCACACACAAAAAATAACTAAATTTCATTCATGTGCAAAATTTGAAAGTAATTTTATACTGTCATCCTACATGGCCGGATCCACAGTGGGCAAGATTGTATACTGCGACATCAGCTGTATATAGATAAATTTGGCATTATTTTATATGTCAACCAATTTTAATACTTTTGATAAAAACCAAGGGTCTCAATTATTCCCACTACTTTGCGACAGTGAGGTTTCTCTCCAATGTGGGACAAAATAAGCTTTAATTATCCCACAACAATCTGAATAATTGTTCTATATGTGTGTTATTCAGTGGTTACTTGGCCTGGTTGGTTTCTTGTTACCTTGCTCCCCCCGATGGTTCCGGCGCTCTCTGAAACCAACTCACATTTGGATTGGAAAAATTGTGTTGGTATTGACCCTGGTCGCCTGCATCAGTGGAATCAATGAGAAACTTCTCCTGACTCTGTATGCATTCATTCGACATTGAAATAGCTTTTGATAATCTACTAAACCGAATTATCCTAAATTAGATTTCCCTTGTACACAGAGACGGGATGAGTGCGGCCGCTTACAACACACTGCCAGTGGAAGCGGTGTTTGTTAATTGTCTGGGGATACTGATTGTGGCTCTTGGAACAACAATCCTTGGAATCCTGTTTGTAAAGAAGTGGCAGCGACCAGAAGATTGTCCAGAAAACACCCAAGTAATTGAGTATTTTCTATTTGTGCATAGTACTTTGCTTCCTAATATGTTTTTCCCCCTTTTCAGCTTCTTGTCAGTGAATCCTCTCCATGATCATCTTCCTCTTCATGGCTCTGTACATGACAGAACACTAAACCAATAAAGACACCAATGATGAATAAATTTGTAATACTCACAATGTTTCTGTATATTTGCTTATTTTACATAGTGGGATGTTTGGAAGGTTAAAGCTGGTGTACCAAACTGCAACTATGGAACTTTGTAATAAATGCCTTGCTCAAAACAGTTTGGTTCTTAAAGTCCTTGAATTAACCTGAAACTCTGAAAAGTGACAGGCCTGTAAGTTATAAGATGGAGAGAGAGCAAAGGTAGAGAAATAATCAATGATGCAAGTAATATCAGACTGGATACTGTTGTTGAAGGGAGTGTTAGTGCATGGAGCGAAGTGTGGACGGCATCTCTGTGTAACACACACATAGTACAGAGTTTACATGGAGTCTGTTTGTAACTTCTCTAACACGACACATCACCGTAAGAAAAACTATAGCTTCTGTAACTTTTTAATTAAAAAAAGATTTTCAGTGATTGGAGGGTCAGAAGGTCTATCTCTTCTTGCATTCTTGGCCTAAGTAGCAGGCCAGTTGGTTGTAACTGAAAAAATAATGCTTTCAGTTTGTTCACATACATGCACACTTCTTAGAAAATACATATGTTTTGTCCCCAAGGAGACCATTTTTATTTTTGTGTACAAGTACTGGATACATTTTTACACTCATCGGAAACAAAGTGCTTAGTAATAATGAATGAATAATTTGTTTAGGGTTAAGAAGTAACGAAGTTTCTAATAAGAAATCCCTTAATAGAACGTGTGCTTTATAATAAATAATCATTAGATACATTAGAAATACATAACACATACTTATTAAGTTGCAATTCCGCATTTTGCCACATAAGGTCAGTGGTGTGTCTTCTGTATTTTCTACTCGTTTGTAACAAAGCAGTACAACAAAAGCAAAATTGTGCTAAAAACGTATGCACAAAAATAAGAAAAATAATAAAATGATCAGTGATTCACACTAAGATACAAAAAACACTACGCTAAACGAGAAAAGTGAGAGAAAAAATATTAAGTTAAAAAAGTACTTCCGGTATAGGTCAAAGGGTGCTGTCAACAAGGCTAACATATACAGCTAGCACTTAGCTAGGTAGCCGATATTGCTCCAAAATGGATATAAATCAAACGAAACAGGAACATTTACTCGCATTAAAAGGTATGATGTGATCATAGATGCTGCAGATGAGGATGTGTTTGTTTATTTTAAACAGTAAATTGAACGTAATATTTCATGTGTTTCCTTTGGTAGATCAGCCTGCATACACAGAACTCACCGTGCAGCTAAATAATCATAAATAACCTCAATAGCATCTAGTTAAGAATTGACAACTTGTTAGTGCAATCGCTTTGGAAGAATTAGTTAAATGTAATTGGATCTGTGCTGTCTTTCCTGATTCATATTTGTGCCATTACTTAAGAGTGCCATTACAGATATTTCCTTTATTCTTTTAGTAATTACAAAATAACTAGATGACAAACAAGAATCAACTTGACTTTATTATTGCTGCACAACTATCTGCACCATGCTCATCTATGTACCTATTGCTATTATTATAGTTGTTGTTATTATTATTATTGTTATTCCAGTTATAATACAGTCAGTAACTTCCTTGTTTTCCATCTTCAGTTATGCGTCTGACAAAACCAACGCTATTCACAAATTTACCAGTCACCTGTGAGGACCGTGATCTGCCCGGTGAGTCTCCCAATCTAAATGGTGCTCTTGTTTACCCTGTCTCGCCTTGTCAGCTCAGGGTTGCAGGACTGGGCATGCTTCATGGATTGCATTTCTGGTATTCTATCAGACATGGCTAACACCTTCAAGTTAGCCATTCGGTTCGGTTACTTCTTGCTTCTGCTGCTTGTTAGGCACTAAGATTTCATGCATGGGTTTTAGCTTCCTGTTATGCAATATTTTCAGGACTTGCATGTTTGATTTTACATGTTATCAATAGTCAGAATTTAGGATAAACTTGGTTAGTAACTAAAGCATTGACTTAAGTTTTTACTCACATATCCGTACATTCTACACTTTAAATGATAGATTACAAGTTACTGACTACAATACAATATAAAATCAAGTTCAAAGTGGCAATTCTTCTAAGTGAATTCATTAAGCTTGGTTAGCCATGCTTCTAAGTTTGGATAACGATCCAACTTAAGTTCTACATGTTTTGTTTATTGTCATGTTCTCAGTCAGTATGAGATATTTCTATGACTGTATAATGTTGCTATGCTTCAAACGTCTTTTAGTACTTTTGCCACCTCTAACTTTTGAAATACACATTTACCAGTAACTGTTTTTAGAAATAAGTAGAAATTGCCTCTGATTCACAAACTAGTTTAAATTATTGTGTGCAGCATTTCATTTAATCAGTGCCTTCTGCTTTTTATAAATTTCAGGTTATATATTGACAGATAAAGTTCATTGTAAGATTCCAATGTAATTTTTATGTATTTATTTATTTATTTATCTATTTGTCCACTTCATCATTTTACTTACTGTATATACTGTACATCATATATATTTTTTCTTGACATTTGTGCAACATGAACTAACCGCTACAGAAGGAAGACACAAAGTCGAATAAATCCTGTCCCTCTTTTTGCATTTCCATTTTAACATTTTTACGCCCAGCCTCACCTGTCGCCAATTTAGATTTGTCCATCCTATACAATAACAATACACTTACTGCACATTTAAATATTTACAATTTATTCATATTCAGTAATATTTCTTATAGTTTTTTTTAAAATGGAAGTGATTAGAAGAACACTCTGAGCGTTCCATAATCAAACATCCCATAGAGACACACACTTCTGTCTCATTGTAGTCCTTACAAATGCTGTTCTAAAATGATGTTTCCTTCAGTGGTTCGAGTCCTCTGACATTAATGTGAACCTCTGTAGAAAGGCTTCAGGCAATAGTTTGTATTTGTGCTTTCCATACAATTAACAACATTTGCAGATCAACCAACTCTTATCACCCCACGCTGGCTGCAGCAGTAACTGAGCCCTGTGCATGCCGTAAATAACAGCAGAGTTTCCAAGTAACAGTTATTCATACTGCAGTAGTATGAATCTTAGACACCGATGATCCTTCTACTTATCACCGTTCACAGAAGCCATCTGTCTATCTGAAGCTACATTATAATAATGTCTGTTATATTTGTGTCCTTAACAAAAATCTGATATCGTATGCACATTTCAATAGGGAATTTGTTTAGCCAGCTTATGAGAGATGACCCTTCGACCATCAGGGGAGCGGAGACCTTGATGTTGGGAGAGATGCTCACGTTACCGCAAAACTTTGGGTATTATATTTTGATTTGCTGCTTTAAAGATGCATTCCTGAACTGTCCCATGAGCTGTCTTGATGGTGGCCCGCTTTTTGCTGTGGTTCATCTAAATCAAGGCTATTTTTAGTGGCCCCTCAAGTCATTTTAATTATTATGATTGGTATGATAAACCGATGGCACTGTGTTAATATGGCTACCATCATGGCATGTTATACCTCATTTGAAAGTTATTGTTCAGATTCAGACTACTTTATTTATCCCACCATGGGCAATTCTTTTGAGCAGCACAGGGCATACAAAGTAAAAAACACATAAAAACCACAGGAAATGTCAGACAGTTACATAAGCATAAGTTCTCAAGAAAACAACCGTATCGTTTGAACCCAACATGTAGTTAGATACATATAAAAATGTATAAAAAATAATTGGCATATCAATCTACAATGGCAAGTCTTTTTCACATTTGGTCCAGTTGTGGTTCAATCCAAAGTTAACAAACAGTAACTGAACTCATTTTGTTCATAAAAATTTACCTGGAAATAATATCCACACTTATGGTGTATAAAAATAATTATTTTGTCAAATTACCTTCATAACGTGCAATATAAATGTTAAAAAATGTCTTAACTTTCCCCTTACCAAATTGGATGTTTACACCCATGATCTAAATGTTGTTGTTTTGACTATATATTGTTAAACTTTCCTTTTACATTGGAAAAAACAAGCATGTGACTCCACTCGGCCGCAAAAAGCGGGTCACCACCGGGACAGCGGAGGAATGCACTTCTTAAGTATTGTGTTATTGACCTTTGCTCATTTGCACCTGTTAGCAACATCTTCTTGGGGGAGACTTTTTCCAGTTATATAAGCGTGCACAATGACAGCAATCAAGTAGTAAAGGATATACTCGTCAAGGTAGGTTAGATTTCTGATAATAAAAGCTATATTTCTATATTTATTTTTTTAGTTTTTCCTTATAATTCACTTTTCGTCTTGTATTTAAACAGGCAGATCTACAGACCAGTTCACAAAGGCTGAACCTCTCGGCGTCCAACTCTGCGGTGTCCGAACTAAAACCTGAATGTTGTATCGACGACGTCATTCATCACGAAGTAAAGGAAATCGGAACACACATGTAAGGCCTAGGATCTGTGTCGTGTATAGTGCTGTGTTTTTCAACCTGTGGGCCGGGGCACCTTAGTTGGATTTGAGATGTTGTTTGGTTTGCTGTTGAGAAAGGACCCAATATCAATTCATAATCATGTATTATGACAAACTTGATTAATCGATGACACTGTTGATATGGCTACCATGGCATGTTATACCTCATTTGAAAGCCTTCAGATTCAGACAGCACAGGGCATAACACATAAAAACACAGGAAATGTAAGACAGTAACATAAGAATAAGAAACAACCATATCATTTGAACCCAACATGTAGTTGGATACAAATAAATCTACAATGGCAAGTCTTTTTCACATTGATAATAGAATCAATGTTATAAATCATGTTTTAATACGTCGAATTCAGAATCAATATCAGAATTCTATTGTGAGTAACAGGAAGTCACAAACTACGAAATTGCTCTCTGTAAAATGTATAAAAGTAAAAATCTACATACCATTTCTTAAAATTACTACTACTACTACTACTACTACATTATACAAGTGCCCTAAGTAGAACATTAAAAAGACTTTTTTGAGTTTTTTGGATTTTCTATGTTATATACTTTGATGAGAATAACTTAAAGGAGGGAAAGGAGCAATATGTAAAAATCTGACCAAAAGTGTGATTGCAATCACATTCAAAATTCGGTGGTCCTCTCCCACTTTCCCCGACTCAGTTTGCCATGATATATTAATGCCTTTTGATATATTAGGGCCATGTAAGGATGACTTTACATGCAAACCTTACAGTGAGTCTGACAGCAGAGTTTCAGTTTGTATATATCTCAGCTGGTGGTTCGCCATGTGATTATTTTTCAATGCAAAAGACGTACCACAGCTCAAAAAGTTTGGAGAACACCGGTACAACTTGATAAATCCACTCATTTAAAACCTTTTCTTTCTATCCCCTTTTCTACTCTCCAGTCTCGTCTGCGCCGTCAGCTACACCACACAGTACGGGGAGAAGCTTTATTTTCGAAAGTTTTTCAAATTTCAGGTGAGCACAACGACTCCGCAACAAAGTTGGAAACGTTGTCAAACTGTGAGAAATGTCACACATCGACAACACAAACCTTAAAGGGCAAGTCATTTCAAAGCCCAAACCCCAACCCCCTCCTCCTCCCTCCCCCCTCCCCCCTCCCTTTGCCCCAAGCACTTTTCTTTAGATGCTATTAACGGACTATTTCTCCTCATGGAGTCTGACAAAACAGCTGCTTTCACTTTGCCGTCTATTTTTAACCAGGTTTTGAAGCCACTTGATGTTAAAACAAAATTCTACAATGCAGAGGTGAGCTTGTGTCGCTGTATCTTTCTATATATGTGTAGTTTTTTAGTTTGTTGTCCGTCCATGTTTTGAATGGATTCTACTGAAGGAGATTTTAGCATCTTAGCCTCTCCACCATTCAATCAAAACATAGACTTTAGTAGTTGCTATTTACTTTATACTTTGCATGTCACAGTAGTAGTTGATGAGTCCATTATCCATCAGTTTGGTGTGTAACATTTGTTCATTTTGTTTTTGTCCATTTCCTTTCTTCCGTTAGAGTGACCTCAGTTCTGTGGTAATTGATTTTTGAGTCCAACGTAAACTTCTTGTGCACCTTTCGTTTTCTCTTGTCTGAGTCAAATGAAAGGGGCAAAGTAAAGACGGGAAAACATTCGGAATTACGTAAAAAAATATTCATATTTATTTAAAAACCAGGATAACTGACTGTTTTTATTTTGCCCTTTTGTTGACGTCGGCGGCACGGTGGCTGAGTGGATAGCACTCTCGCCTCTCAGCAAGAAGGTCCTGGGTTCGAATCCCGGTCAGACCAGGGTCTTTCTGAGTGGAGTTTGCATGTTCTCCCCGTGTCTGCGTAGGTTTCCTCCGGGTACTCTGGTTTCCCCTACCACTAAAAATATGTCCAATAGTTCTGGCATGCGCCTCCTGTACTGGCGACCCCGCTCCCATCTCTGTGTGGAGTGAGAGACAAGTGCCCAAAAAAATTAACAATTGTAAACCGCTTTGAGACTCAGATCTGCAGTGAAAAGGCGGTATATAAATAAAGATTACTCACTTACTTACTTACGTCCATCACTTGCCAACTCATGACTAATTTGATTTGGGTTTTTAAGTACATTTGTCCATAATTTGTGATGAAAAACAATGCAAGAAATAAAAAACCGTAATAATATAGTTCAAACAATTGTTAAAAGATTGATGATTGGCTTTTGTCTGGTTCTGGATAACTAAGCTTTCTTAAACGCAACGCAAGCATGATTGTATCTTTGCTTCCCCAACTTTTTTTTCTCGTGTATGCTGGAGGTTGTATACTGTTTTAAGCCCATGGAATATCGAATTGGATTTGAGCTTTACTCGTATATTTGGCTGTTTCAACATATCTAAAAGTCATATTAGCAAAGGTACATGCGTAAAGTATGTTAGATTTATTTGTACTGTACTTTCTGGACTACTATAAGGCGCACCTCTATATAAGCCGCACCATTTAAATAAAAAAAGAAGAAAGAAAATCAATGTTGTCCACATATAGGCCGCACTTGAATATAAGCCGCAGCCGTAGCTACTAAAACTCTCTATATAAGCCACAGGGTTCAAAGAAGTAGGGCAGGGCCTGGTTAGTATCGTGATGGGAGACCTCTGGGAACACCAGGTGCCACAGTGGGGCGGCTGCGGCTGTAAAGTTCCAAACTGTTGTTGTGTCGTTAGGGAAAACACTTCACCCCCATTGCCTAGAGTCTGGTCAGTGTGTGTGAATGGTTGGTGGTGGTCGGAGGGGCCGATGGCACATACTGGTTGCCTCGCTTCTGTCAGTGTGTCCCAGGGCAGCTAAGGTTGAAGTTTATCACCACCGTGTATGGAGTCACTGAATAATGACATGTGAAGCGTCTTTGAGTGTCCTGAAAAACGCTATATAAAACCAGTGCATTATTTTTATCATTATTATTAAGTAGAAAAAATTAGCAGCTTATAGTCCGGAAATTTCGGTAATTGAAATGTAAATGTTTTTTCTAATGCTCTTAAACGTTTACAACCGCCTGCATACACTTTATCCACTCGTACTAACACTGTGCCCTCTGAGGTCTGCTGAGGGGAACCCTTTGTGTTCTGGCACTTTTGCTGTGTTAATCTCATAAGTGACGTTTTTTTATTTGTCCATGTTAACTTTTTTCTCTTTAATCACTTGTTTATCGTTTTAGACTGACGAGGTTTTTCTAGAGGCCCAGATCCAGAACATCACCACGTCCCCAATGTTCATGGAAAAAGTGTCTCTGGAGCCGTCCATCATGTACAACGTCACGGAACTCAACACCGTCGTGAACGAAGACGACAGGTAAATGTAGCGTTTCTGCTCTGAAAACACATTATTTACACATTCAGCGACTTTAATCCAACCTCCAGCGAGTCCACGTTTGGAAAGATGTCCTACCTGCAGCCTATGGACACACGGCAGTATCTGTATTGTCTGAAGCCAAAGTCTGAGTACGCAGAGAAGGCGGGAGTGATAAAGGGGGTGACTGTCATCGGAAAACTCGACATTGTTTGGAAGACTAATCTCGGAGAGAGAGGGAGGCTCCAGACCAGTCAGCTACAGAGAATGGTATTTATATGTCTCCAGACCAAGGGTGTCAAAACTTTTATTTCATTTTTGTATTTATTCATTTTGATGTCTTTATTTAAACAAACAAAAACATTACACAGAGAATACAACACAAAAACATACACTGACATAACTAAATACAAACACACAGAAGGGTGGGGGGGGGGGGGGGGGGGGGGTGTTGGCAGACAAGTGGTGATATTATTTCACTATTAAATTGTGGGTGTTGTAATTTCACCTTGCACTATACACACAGACTGCACGTATCGAGTATGTCACGAATCAAGTATTTATTCATGTGTAAATGTCGTTATACTACATACATACATACATACGTCATATATATTGTCTTTATATTTGTGCAACATGAACAGACAGGAGCACAAGGAAGACAAAAACAAATCGTATACAGTACAGACAAAAAGTTTGGACACACTTTCTCATTCAATGTGTGTCCTTTCTTTTCATGACTATTGACTGTAGATTCACACCCAGGTTGTGTAAGGGCTATTTGACCAATAAGGAGAGTGGTGGGTGCTGGACTAGATGACCCGGCCTCCACAGTCCGGACCTGAACCCAATCCAGATGGTTTTGGGGCTGGACCACAGAGTGAAGGGAAAAGGGCCAACAAGTGCTAAGCATCTGTGGGAACTCAAACCATTTCAGGTCCTCTTGAATCTCATCAAGAGAATGCCAAGAGTGTGTGAAGCAGTAATCAGAGCAAAAGGTGCTACTTTGAAGAACCTAGAATATAGGACATTTTCAGTTGTTTCATACTTTGTTTTAGTATATACATAATTCCACATGAGTTAATTCATAGTTTTGAGGCCTTCAGTGTGAATCTACAATTTTCATAATAATGAAAATGAAAAAACTCTTTGAATCAGAAGTTGTGTCCAAACTTTTGGTCTGTACTGTATGTCCTGTCCCTCGTTTTGCTGGTTGTATTTTAAAATGTTCACCCCCAACATCACCTGTCCCTAATCTAAAAATGTTCCTATTCCATGACACCAAACTAACTGTACACTTCATTTTAATTGTATGTAAAAGTAAAAAAAACATTGCTCAACAGAGACCATATTTTTCACTTTTTAAAACATTTCCTGTTTTTTGCACAGCCTGAGTGATCCCATCTATGCCAAATGTGACATGTACATTTCTTCATTGTGAGATCAATAAAGTTTATCTTAGTTTATCTTAAATATTTTCATTTTCTTCATATTCATATTCTGATTCCAGAAAGGGCCAGTGTGGCTGCGGGTTTTAACTCCAACCAAGCAGGAGCACACCAGACCACGCATTTCCTCAAATCTCCGGGTTCCTTTTACTTCTAATCTTTAATTCAAACACATGAAGAGTCCAAAAAACATACACACACACACACACACACAAAAGATGGAGACAAAAAACACACAAACATACAATAAGAATGGAGACACTGAGTTGAGGAAATGGGAGGAGTCTGCTCTGCTCCTGCTTGGTTGGAATCAAAACCTGTAGCCACACACCGGACTCTTTGAGGACCGGTTTGACACCCTCTGATCTACACTGTACTTTTGTTACTGTCTCTTGTGACTTCTCCATAACGCTCTATACTGACTTCAGGCCCCCGGCTACGGAGATATAAGATTGTCGATGGAGATGATTCCTGACACTGTAAATCTCGAGGAACCTTTTGACATCATTTGTAAAGTCACAAACTGCAGGTAAATACACGTCCTGGTTTATATATCTACCTATACATATTCACATCCTGTATAGTTGAATGCGATATTAAACATGTGTTGTATGTCGTGTTTTTCAGTGAAAGAACTATGGATTTGGTGCTAGAGATGTGCAACACCAGAACGATTCACTGGTGCGGTATTTCAGGTCGACAGCTCGGGAAACTGAACCCAGGGGCCTCCCTCTCTCTGCCCCTCACTCTCCTCACGTCGGCACAGGGACTGCAGGTGGGACTGGGCTCATCCAAAACACTGGGCTTTTATGAGAGTGAGAAAAAATAACAGAAAAATGCTCAAATTTGATTTAAATTTAAAAACTTCGCCATTCAAGCTATTTTTACCGAATATTTTATCATTTTTTGCAGTGTAACAACTATATAACCATGTACTATAACAATATATAACAATGTACTATAACAATATATAATGACTGTATGTCTTTTTTTAGAGTGTTTCTGGGTTGAGACTCACGGATACGTTTTTGAAGAGGACCTATGAATACGATGATATTGCGCAAGTGTGTGTTGTCTGTCCGTATTTAGTCAACGAGAGCTAGAATTTTATCTTTTCGTGTTTTATATGTTGAACTAGCCGTATGCCTCTGAGTATCATGTATGTATGACATTCACTTTTGATATCAATGTATTTTAAAAGTGTGAAGGAAAACTGTTTGTTGATGATTATGTGTATGTGCAGACATAATAAATAACTTTCCACGTATGCTTTTGAAATTATATTAAAACTTTCATTTTCACTCTCTGAAGAAAGCAATGTAAATGTTTTTTTTTTCTAAGATGCAGGAGCAATAATAACAAAATCCTTCATTCCTGTTTGTATTTCTTTAACCCCTAGTTTTTTCATTAAAGGCCTTTACCAAATGGTCGACATGCAGCTTGATGGTCAAAGTGCCTAAAACCAAATTATAGAGATGCCCCCATTGAGATAGATTTTAGTTCCAAGCTTCAAGTAGATAGTGACTCAAAGGAGGTAAATGCATCCCATTGGTTCGTTGGGGATGAACGAATCCCATTGGTTTATTTTTATCGGTTCGCTCCAAAACATGTTTTAGTCATTTTTGGAGACTATAGGCATCTGGTCAATTCCATTACTATTTGAAAACACATATCTTGACTATATTTGGGGTTTAGGGACCTTTTCCCACAAAATTTAAAACATTTGTCTTGAAAAAAATCCCTGATTGCATCTTTAATCATGAGATTTATAGGTAAAATAAATAAAACATCACAATCTATTGATAATATTTTCCCTCCACTTCCTGATTAAATAAAGGTACAAAAAAACACCTCTGTATTGACAGTCATGTAATATTTATAATATTGAGCAAGAAGCAGAAGAAGAAAATATTTCTCCACTGTGAGACTAATAAAGGTTTATCTTATCTTATCTTATCTTAAAAACCAGTAGCAGAAGAGCAATAATATGGTGCAGAACATACTTGTCTTGGAGCTTAAAGTTGCACTGTTCATTCCATTTCATTTTTACCCCTTTATTAGTCCATTTCTGGGTCGGGGCGGGATGGCAATGAGAGCTGCCACCCATCGCTGATCCTCCTGCAGGTGGTGGGTTCACAGGAAGATGGCTGCTGCTCCATCGTCAAAGGCACGTTGGTCTTTCAGCGGGGGCTTTCGGCTAAAAATTGGGTTAAGTGTCTTGACCAAGGACACAACAACAGCAGACATCAGTGGGAGCAGTTGGAGAAGGTCTTGTGGGGTATCGAACCTACAACCTTCAGGCTCAATGCTACTGTCCCTTTCAAATAAAAACTAAAGAAACTGAAATGTCTGTATATTAACTGGGAATCGAGTCACTTTCTGAACCAGCTTTTTCCAAACAGATTGGACTTTTTCTCTGTCTGATTGTAAAATTGAAGGGAGTGACACAATGAGACTTCAAGACATTTATTTACAGAAAAGTCAAAAGAGTCATGACTTTATAATCTTTGCTAATGATTTCAGACACTAGATTTTCGAGCATGCAAAAATAAATAATATCAATACTCTCGTTACTAGTGTAAATATGGAGAACCGCTAATGGGTTTTTATTATATCTGACGTAATAATACAACTTCATGAATGGTGTCGTCTGTACAATTCTATTAACAAAATGAAAACTCATTCATTGATGGCGCGGCATCAAAGGACCCTGGATTAAATCTATTGCAAAAATTGAGATTTACAAAAATAATATCAGACAAGTAACAATATAAATCATTATAGAATTATTTCCAATCCACAATAAAAGAATTTGACATCCTCCGTATTTCACAACCTTCCAGCTCTCAACACTAACATAAACTACTGCATTATGGGCTACTTTATAGTTTTTGCAGATGTGTTCTCTGTTGAAGGTACAGGTGGGATGTGGTCCAGTCTCACTCGTATACACAGTAAATAAAGTGCCATCAGCTTCATGCCGATCCGTTCCTTAGATGCAGTGAAGTGAACGATGACGGATGCCTCCACGGATTGTAACCTCGCCATAGGGGTGTGAGCTGCGGTGGAGAGAGCGCAGGTTACATGTAGTATTGACATGAAAGAAGTGAGGCGATTTCGCACATGTTAGACGTTCCTATAGTCCACTAGTCCCTTTGCCACACACTGTAAACCCTGACAAGTTAAAGAGCGACTAAACACCAAATCAACTTTTTTTAACTCATAAACTGCATAAATATGTAAATTGTAGTGCTCTATACATATCCTGGTCATTTGTTTAACATTTTAGTTGAAATTAGAAAAAAAATGTCCGTGTGGCGTCTGTTTTTTTTTCGTGTGACTAGTGAGCTGTCATCACAGCCCAGACCACGCCCAACTCTAAGCCCCCCTTCTTGCCCCTTGGACCTCCAGGCAACGCCCTTTTAAGAAAAAATGTTCATGTGGGCAGAGTAAGGCTGGCCACAGGTGTTTAGTCGCTCTTTAAGTATACTTGAAAAATTAACTTCACTTGAATTCCTCGAGTATATTCTTGAAGTTTGAAGTTTATTTGGGTCACTTGTAATTTTACACATTCTCACAGGACAGTAAATTACAGCAAAGAGTAGGCTGAAGCTAATGCTTATTTTGCCTAAGTAAGTAAGTAAGTAGTGTTTATTTATATAGCGCATTCACAGACCAAGGTCACCCAAAGCGCTTTACAATGTTCAGAGCCCAGATATTGTTCCAATCATTCCACACACGGTGATGACGGAAGCGGGTCGCCAAACACACTGGAGCATCAGCCCCCAATCAACACCATCCATTCACTCTCTCTCAATGTAAACAATAGCATTTAAATGAGCAACTGTATCAACATTATAAATCTGAGTTCAGGTAGCCTCCAAAATGATAGTTTTAAACATCCTTTTAAAGTGGTAAAGTGAATTGCATGATTTAAGTTCACCTGTGCATCCATTCCAGAGATCAACCCCTCGAACAGATAACCAAGTTTTCATTACATTAGTTTACATTAGTTCTACATTTTTGTTTTACGAACACGTCTGTTCCTCTCAACTCATAACTTCTTAACTTGATGTTGCCAAGTGAACTCCATTGATTGCACTAAAGTTTGAATGTGATTTCAACTTGTACATATATCAGAAAGGCCCTGCCCCGACTGGGAATCGAACTGGAGAAGCGGAGGTGCTACCCACTCAGCCACTGTGCCGCCCTGCTCTGAAGATACATGACATTATGAACACTCTACATGTTCAAAATGTCAAAAATGCAGGAGACTTGAACAGAGACAGCTCAATTTAAAGAATCCCTGAGTGGTATAGCCAAGATTAAAATAAACTAACAATAAACAAGTAATATTTACTTACTGGGAAAAAATATATTTCAAATAACTTTGATATCTGCAGTAAGACTGAAGTTAGGGTTTAACGGTGTCAAACTCATTTTGGTCAGGGGCCAAATAAAAAACATAGGAATTGATCAGGAGCCAAAAGAATAGAAGGGATTTCCTTTTCTTTTAATTGTTTGTCACATTATGAAGGTATTTTGACATTTCACTATTATATCCTGGTGTTTATTGTATAGATTGAACCAAAACTGGACCACACACATTGTTACACACATTTTTTTTTATATTCAACTATTTAACTTCTATTGATGTGTCGGGTTAAAATGTTAGAATACATAACATTTGGTTGTTTTCCCAAGAAAATAGATTATGTATAGTCGGCCTTGGGAGCTCATTACCATCAATGCTGCAAGTTAATAATAATTGAAAATAATTTTAGGGGCCCCTAATGGTTGCCTTGCGGGCCGGATTTGACATGTCTGCCCTATGCAATCTGAGGAATGTCCCCTTTAAAGTGGCTGAAATGATCAATAGTCCAAATTTAATATTGAGGTGGCAAGCAACTAAAGTACCGACACATGTATTTTTCCTGGTTTCATCTACACTTTACTACTAATTTGTTTGACTTTTAGATTCACTCTCTCATTACATTCATAAAACTCACTAATTCCAAGTGTGAACGCGTGGGTGATCCATATACCTGTCAGCCCTGGCTCACGAGTGCTCCTCTGCGCTGCCACTGAACGAGCGGCTGCGGACGTGGTTCCTCAGTTGTTCGATCAGCTCTGGGTTCTGCTGCTGGATCTGCTGCGCAAACTGCTGCCCTCTGACAGAGATAGAGCTCAAGTTAATTCGTGTACTTAATTCAAACTCAAATGATGCGTGATGAAAAATAGCTAAAATAATTCTTAAAAAAATAACAATAAATCTACTATGCATTATTAGTCCTGGATCTACAGCCTGTCCTGGATCCTCTGTTCTGGAACTACAGCCTCAGTCTTGAATCTACAGCCTCGGTCCTGGATCCTCTGTTCTGGAACTACAGCCTCAGTCTTGAATCTACAGCCTCGGTCCTGGTTCTACAGCCTCAGTCCTGGATCTACAGCCTCAGTTCTGGATCTACAGTCTCAGTCCTGGATCTACAGCCTCAGTCCTGCAGTCTCAGTCCTGGATCTACAGCCTCAGTTCTGGATATACAGCCTCAGTTCTGGATATACAGCCTCAGTTCTGGATCTACAGTCTCAGTCTTGGATCTACAGCCTCTGTCCTGGTTCTACAGCCTCAGTCCTGGTTCTACAGCCTGTTGAATTGAATAAAAGCATTCAGTATTCTGTAACCAAAAACATTCTCCCCAACACTGTCTGCACCACCAGACAAACCAAACCAAAGGAATACACTAGAACAGGGGTGGCCAACCCGCGGCTCGTGAGCCGCATGCGGCTCTTTGGCTGGTTCCGTGCGGCTCTCGGGCTTTCACTCGACAAGCGTCAAAAACGCCTCGGTGGTGGCGCTGCCTTTCATTCCATATGTAGTTCTGACCAATAGTAAAGGCCGACTTCACTCCACTAGCCAGGCCACCAAAACAATCTGACGTCGGCGAACGTCAATTCTGGTTGGTCAGATGCGCTGTCAATCACTCTGCAGCTGCTACCTCAGCTGTAGCAAATATCATAACAAACAACACGTTGCCTCGACCCATGGCGTCCGTACGGAAAACAATTCCTTGGTCGCTGGATGAGGGCAACACCTTCCTCAGTTTGAGGAGAGGACACCAGCCTGATCTCGCTGGTTCCACCAGAAACCAGAAGGTGTTTGTGGAGCTAGCACTAAGGACGGAGCAGAATGATTCCCACAAACATGACAATGCAGAGAAAAGTTAAAAAGCTTAAAAGTGACAACCGTGAAATGAAAGATCGCAGCAGCAGAAGTAGAGGCAGACCCGAAAAGTCTGGAGGTGGTTTGACCAAATGGATTAAATTTACGGACATCGGCTAACACCGGCTAACTTGCTAAAACCAGCTAACAACAACTAGCATTACACCAGGAGATAAGCCAACTCTGCCTGGTGAGTGTCTGTCTTCAATCAAATGCAAAAGTATCTGGTCTTATACTGAGCATGTGTCTGTGGTTCTAAATCAGCTAAAGTGGTGTTGGTGTTATGTGTCAAATCTATATCTTTTACTAAAGACAGTTGTGTTTCTGCTGAACACTGGGTTGAAACTTGATTTTTTTTTCTTGGTTAGAGATTGAAAGCATTCATTTCGGAATCATAATTGATGTTCGCTGACGTGAAATTGTTCTGGTATCGACTCGCCCGGTTAGAACCAGGGCCAAACCATAATAAAAAGTACCGGGGAGCGGTTGAAGCGAGCGGTGGAAGCGCCCGCAAACCAGGGAGAGTCGAGTCCAGCCCTTTAGTACTGTACGAGTCAATTTCTGTCATTATCATGTTGATGACATTTACAATAAATCTGTCTGAGCAGAGCACACCTCTCTCTGCTCAGACAGATTGCATGTGTCTGCGCGTGTCTGCTCGTGTGCGTACAGTACGTGCGCGTGTGCGTGCGTGTGTAAGGGTTGGGGTGATGTTTATGTAGTGCACATTTGTATGATGTGGCTCTTTGCTGTAACACAGTAAAAAAAATTGGCTAGAAAATAAATCTGAACCAACATCAATAGAAATACATGAATTATACTAACGCTTCAATTAAGCTGGAGATGTCGGACAGGCCTCCCACTCCAGCGGTCGGCCTTCCCACCGCGTTGGTCATCATTCCTGACATTCTGCCCACAGAGATAAGTTTATAGTTACTCAGAGCTGCCCACACAAATGTTTTGTCATTAAGGAAACAAGGAAAGAGCACTCACAGCTGTTGCACCTGTTGGTTCTGCATCACACTCGCAGCCTATGAAAACAAACACATCCGTCTCACTCTGCCCAAACCAGTTATGATACTAAAAGTTCCCTAAATAAACTGTGAAATAATGAAAAGTTCCTAAATAAATAGTGAAGTAATGACCATTGTAAAGTGTGTGGAGGTTGGAGGTGATGTCTGCATCTTCAATTGTATTTCATTTTTAAAAGAAGCCCTGTTTTTTTGTTTCCAGGTGATTATTACAGAGCAAAAAAGAAAGAAAGAAAGAAAGAACACATAACCAGGGTACAAAAAGGTGCAGAAGGTACAGAATGAAGGACAAACAAAGATTATTTAGATAAGGCCTATTTTTGACCATGTGACCATGTAGGGTCATATAATATTTAGTGTTTTCCTTAATCATTATTAATGCAGTCCCTTCTCTTGGCATACCCACAGCCAATAAGATTTGCTGGAGCAGAATAGCCAAAAACAAAGTGCCTCTTTTGAGTTTAAAATGTAATGTATTCAATTAGGAAGCAGTGCAGGTGAGAATGGGCGGGTCTAACCGGTGCTTGCTTTGAAAAAAAATAATTCTCTCTTCATTTTTTAAAAAGCTACTGACAATTTACTTGTTGCTGTACTTTCATTAAGAAAATCAGAATTATTACGCAATATTTTTAGTTTTGCCATAAAAAGAATGAGGAAAAAGATAATTCACTTTGTCATTTCATGTTTTAGAATGAAGATATGGTGAAACTAAAAAAAAGCTTTCCGTCTGTAACTCCCTGTGCTACCACCAGAGGGAGTTAAATTTGTAGTATTTTTTTTTTTTTTCAAATTTGAAGCTCACCAGCTACAACTACAGAGATATGATTGAGAAGAATGTCATCACACTTGAAAATGTATGGGAAATACTTTTGTTTTAAAGGGCTTAAAACTGCCTGATGTCATAAAGGTAGAATGACATCACACTGGACTCAGAGAGGAGCTTTTAGACAGAAGGGGCGGAGTTCCTTAGTTTGTACCAGAAGTCCCTGATACTAGCGTGGATGGAACAACCCCAGGTCTGTTTTTGATGAGGGAACAATGTTGTAGCCTGGTTAAAAACTCAAAATTGCATAATATGTCACCTTTAATGCTAATGCAAGTTACAACAAAATAACCAGTGATCTGACCAGTGTTTCCCACAGGTTTGAAGGCAATGTGTGGTGGTCGTCGGCGGGGGGGGGGGGGCGGGGGGGGGAGTGGGGTACAGTGGTACAGTGGTAGAGGACAATCTTGAGGTCATGAATCCAGTGAAATTAGTCGCACACCTTTTTACAGTAAAAAGTTACAGTAGATCAAAAGTGACATGTTTTGACTATTTTGGAGGTATTTTGGACCAAAATGCTACTTTACCTCAATATTTCTCAATATTTCTACAGTAAAAGTTTCTGGTCTTTGGTACAGTGGCAGAGGGCAATAATAAGGTCATGAGTCAAGTGAAATTAGTCGCACACCTTATTCCAGTAAATAGTTACAATACTTGAAAATTGCACTAGCGGACCAAATTGTGTACTTTATACATGTAAACAATAGAGTGGCTATCCTCCTGAGGACTCACAATCTGCCGGAGGAATCGTAGGGGGCTGGTGCTATGTGTGCCGGGTGGCATCTCTATAAGGTTTTAATCACAAAAACGTGTCTCCCTGACCCCAGCGCGCTTTCTGTTCGATAAAAATGGGTGACTCCGAAAGGATGTTCCGCTGTTACCGTAAGTTCTCAACAAAACGCGCACCGTCTTTTCCCCGATGCGGGCCGCATGTTCATAGAGCTGAAAGATGCGGGCCACTTTACCGCGGTAAATTAATAGACACAGCTGCTTACAGCGATGATCGCTGATGGAGACGGAGACACGCGGTGTGCACGAAGGGGAGGGGCTGTGTGTGTGTAGGTCTCTGTATGTGGGAGAGACGCGTAGCTTGAGTGAGAGTTACGAAGGGCCGCCACATTTTAAACCCCCCTCCCCGCTGTCAAATTGACCGCTGCGGCGGCACTAGACGATGCATGTTTTAAATAGCGTAACAAAAAATGAATTGCTCTGTGTGACATCACCGTTTGGGTAGTTGAGTGAACCTTGAAAAAGCCTGAAAAAAAAAAAGGTTAGTTCCAGTGAGGTTCAGCGGCTCCAACTACAAAATACTGGATCTTACTACCTCTGTGAAGTCTGTGCTATGCAAGTGGCCGTAGTATACAGTCCCTCTCCAAGGCTTTGATGGAGAGATGAACGGTGAAAAGGAGATGCCGTTCTTAACTCAGTCTAACTCCTTAACAGGCCGGTCAAAGAGGGGAAGTCATCGTCCACACATGACCTCCTGCCACACCAACAGAGTCAAGGGATATCAACTGACACGCCCCTGCTAGAAACAAATCACAAAGTCTTATTATGACCGATACTACAGCTACTGTAGCTTCTGAGCTTTGTCATGAACAAATACAGCTGTAACTATGACCCTTGAACAGGCAAACACATTTACACTTCATAGAAATGCACAAAATAGGTCTGGTCATGCAATTGACTGAGGGCAATAACTCAAGTGCAAATAGTAAATTCAGAAAAATATGTCAAGGTCCTATGCATTCCCCATGCATGACATGAAACAATGGAAGGTTTCATTTCCTCTCCTAAGACAGTCTATGGTCCATACTGAACTTTTCTAAAGGCTTTAGATATCCACATTTTGTCTTGCCTGAAATCAAAGGGGAATGAAATTGTCTTCTGCATTTCTTATAGTACTTATTCATAGGTTGTACGTCAAATAACCATATGTAAGAATATCTCAAAGTAGGGCGTAATTAACAATTGTATTCATTGAAATTTAGTTGAAAATTATTCTACAATTAATCTATTCAGTGTTTCGATCCCGAAGTTCGAATTGTGAATATCGATTAATATATATTAATTGGTCCAAAATAATTCTTAATGAGCCCCAGGAAAACAAGATAATAAATTGTTACACATTAGGTTGTTCCGATTAAAAATAAAAACACAGAATACAGACATTAATACATTTTCAATTCCTGCAGTTATAGAAATATCACATTATGTCACAAAAAGAATCTTCCCAGTATGTTTTAGTCTTAAAGAAGATTCCGACAATTAAAAACGATTACCTAAATTAGTTGAAAACTATTTCAATAAACACTATAGTTTGCGGATTAGTCAATTCATTTTGCCCAAGATCCAAAGTACGAACAGATAGGTTGGCGGCATGTCCAGGACCAGACCATTACAGTAACGTTCAAAATGTTTTGTTTTAATGATCTGGTTGTAAATTCTCTTCTTTTAAAACCCATCCAACGTTAATAACATAATACAAATGATTAGCTAAACACCTCATATTAAACTACTAAATAATTTGTCGCTGTGATTCGCCAATTGGCAACACCTCCTCCAAGACAAATTGATACATGGAATCAATGTTGGTTATTTCTTTGTGTGTATGAAAAACACAAATATCTAAACACAGTGTCGTTTGCTACAAAGTTGGAAAAAATTCGAAGTATAGCTTTAAACTTACCAAAAGAACCTCAGTAAGAGGAGGGGACTGGTCGCGATCCAAATTATGATAGCGTCTTAATGCGTAAAGTATCCGGGAGAACTTTTAGGTGAGGGTTTGTGTGGGTATGTTGGTGATAAGCCGCTTGCAATTCCTCGTGGCGTATTCGGCATGTGCTTATGAGTGACGTGGCAGGGTGAGGGCGCAGTACGATGACGTCACTCCGCTATGTATCTCTCCCCCTTAACTAATTCCCATATGATTATCATATATTTCCCCGACTGTACTAGAGCACAATGACGCATCTTAGAGAATGTGCGAATAGGAGCAACTCGACACTCCAAAGTTAAGAGTGATCAGCAGCTACATGTTATTTAGTTTGAACCAATCCAACTAATAATTACTTGTTTACCCATCAATGTTAATCTTTTTATCATAGAACAATTATTGCAATTAGTTTGTGTACCCAATACCCCACCCGGGTCTTATCCACTGAATCCCTGCTTCAGATTGTGTTTTCTGTATTCTGAATATTATGAAAACATTGACTTGAAAATAATACCACAGTGTAAAACTGATGAAAAGCAGAAGGAAACCAAATAATTGAATTGAACTTGCCTGACTGTATTCCTTAGATTGCCATGTAGTAGTACTTTTCCACTCTTCTAAACTGAACTGCCCGGAATAACAATTGCACATATTATACCCTCAAACTGGATACTTAAACATAGCGGAATTCCATATATGCACGTGAACACATTTGAGGACAATAAATACATAAAAAAAAATCAATTACACCCCCCGAGTGATACGAGAAAAGTTTCAATATCATGGAGTGAGGCTCCTGAATAGTAACAAAAAACAATGTTGTGTTTCTGGTATATGCCAGTTGTATTACTGGTAAATGTTCTCGATGCCATTTATTTTAACATCTCTTTAATTCAGGCGTACACAGACAACAACAAACAAACATTACAGAGGTTTTAACAAATTGTGCACAATGTTACAATTTGGATAATTTTTCTAAAACATAAACTTTACTTTCCACGTATAAATAATAAGGGGTCCCTCAGGACACCTTTATGTTCAAGAGCTTTCAATGTCCCGTGCTTTCATTTACATTTAAAAATGATTATTTTGGTATTTGGAATGACCTATTTTACTAGTTAAAGGCAACGGGCGATGTGTTTCGTTTCGGCTTTATTGCTTATCTTAACAGTAATACGGGAGAAACGGAAAACACTAAGAACAAAATCCTGTGCCTGGCCAATAATGTAATTTTTGAACAGCATATTCCTACCATTCAATTTTTTGCATGGCTCAAAAATATTAAAGTGACATTTCTCTTACCTCAGGAAGTAAGTAAAACATTAACGCCATTTGCTTGAAAGTAAATCACAAACAGGTTAACAATAACGGGCTTTTTATCACCCCAAAGACCAAACAGAACAATATCTCCATCCATCCATCTCTCTTCCCCTGAATCCATTTCTGGGTTCAGGGGGTGGCAGTCGGAGCTTGCACTCAGTTCACAGAGCACCAGCCCCCAAAACAAACAAATAGTAATAACTAATATCACTTCAATGTGGTCATATTGAACACCAAAAATGACAGTGATTTAAAATCAGCCAAAGGCCTGCCCACAGTCGGCCTAGTCACAGTTTTACAAAGTTCATCATTTGATAATTGACGGATGTCCAAAGTTGCAAATGATATTGGCCATTCACATCAAACACATTGGTGGCCACATGACCACATGTACAGGCATGAGCATTGATAAAATACCAACCGGTTTGAGGATTAATGTAACTCTGCCTCATGGAGGAAAATGCATAATTTGCCAGCATCGCTAAAGGAGTTTCAAGGAGCAGAGCGGTTCTGCATTTGTCTTTCTGTAGCTGCAGAAACTGCTCTGTGTCTCAGCACATTCAAGTCCAATTGTGAGGCAGCTTCATCTTCAATACTCGGCAACTCCTCACCTTGATCTTCAGAACCAACGTTCAAGAATCTCCTAAAAAGATCCATAATTTTACACACCCAGAAATAACTACATGACTGTATTATGACTGACCTGTGGATGGACAACATATCCGACTGACCTGCGAGCGTCAGCTGCAAGTCCTGCATGACCAAGTACAAGGGCACTTGTGGGCAAACATTTCCTGAATTTGATAGGCCTAAACACAAAAATAAAAAAGTTAATTTCTTGTAAATTTTGAAATCAAATGTAGAACCTACCATCGCTGTCAGCTGGGAATTGTTTGCTTGAGCAATACCCAATATATTTGTTGTGTGCATAACTTCAACAGAAAAACTTGGCAGCCAGCTTGCAATGCGGGACCCTGAAAACAAACATTGTAAATAAAATATGGCAAAATACGGCAACCACATATTCTGCTTACCATCAAAGTGGAAAAAGTGGTTATGTTGGTTAATGTGTGGTCTGGCCTCTACAGCCGGCCCTGCAGCTCCCATGTTGTCCTCCAGAGCTGGACCTTGCTGTTGGTCTCTTGTTTGAACTCCATCACCATTTATGTTTAATGATTTTCTGCATGTGGGACACGACGTGTCCTGCTCAAGCCAGGAACGCAAACATGAACTAAGAAAGCAGGAAGTGTCACATATAACCTCTCATAAATATTATATGTGTAAGGTGTCAAACAAATCCGGGAACATAAGATAAATATATTGTACTTGTGAAAGAGATGTCCACAAGGAAGTTTACGAGCTGTAACCATGGCATCCCAACAAATGGCACAATCATCATCATTAGCAGCTAGCTCTTCAGGAGTGGCAACAGCAAATCTGTTAATGTAGAGCATTTCATTTTCAACATATTTAGCAACATTGGACCATACAATTTGAAAAACTAAATAGAAAAATAAATGACCTGGCTTCCATGTTGTTTATGACACGTAGATAGTTCTTATGTCTGCGGAGGCGGCGCTGGACTTCATGAAATAGATAGCGCAGCTGCATAAATATGACCAAACTTGCCATTGACAACCAAATGTTACCAAAAAGCTAAAAGTAAATATGAAGACTTCAGTTTGAGCAAGTTATAAAGTCATTACATGATTTCAATGTCGTTTGGCCTCACCAGCATATGGATGTGATGCATAAGGTCAAGGAAAAGCATAGCTAACTCCATGATGAAGTCTGTGTAATAGACATACGTTCCCTTACTTTCCCAAGTCCCATCATGGCTAAGATCCCACAAATGAATTGAATAGCTGTAGAAAGCACAAAACAACAATGGGTGGTTGGTTAGACCAAGTAAGTAGACAGTAGAAAATAACTGCAAAACAAATAATATTTATGAAAATAAATATTTGACTCTTACCGCATTATGACATGACCAGTACGGACTGTCACCAGCAAACACTGAAACAAATACGAAAAATAAATTAAGTTAATTTTATGTAATTCACTGTTTATGGACTTAAATACAGGGAACACACTGTTGCAAGCTCAGGTGGAGCACTGTTCTTTTTCCCTCCAGAGGTTTAGTGATCAAATTCACTGGATTTAACCAAAGAAACTGGCAGCCCAAATTAGCTGTTAGCTATATGGCCTTATGAACATGGCATCGGTTGCCTGTAACAATGGTTTTTGTTCTGTCCCTGTCATAATAAAATGAGAAGCTTTTCTGCTTGCATCCATTATCTTGTCCTTTCGGTTATTAGCCAAAACACATGACCATAGATGATGGTGGGATGACTGATTGGTAAATCGATATCTTTGCCTTTCAACTTATATCCCTCCAATACAGTGACTGCATCACAGGAACACGACCAGAAACACTTGTCTTGGGACGGTGCAGTGCGGCCACAGGTCATGCAGATTTTTGTCGACCCGATCTAAACTCAAATCACAAGTGGTGTGAATTAACATGGATTGTCAGATCCTCACCTCTGCTGCCATGAAGGAGAGAGTGTGCATGCCATGGGAAGCACCAAGAAGTCCACAGCCAACAGCCAGTCCACAGCAGTCCAAGAGCAGAGAGACTAGCAGACACAACACTCGCACATGGCTATTCATGGGTGTGGAGGGTGAAAATGACAGCTGTAAACATTGAAAAATATTATTTGGGGGCACAACAAACAAACGGGGATTAAGGAATTTGGAATGTATATACTGCATTTTACCACCTGACAGAACTACAGCAAGTAATCAAAACAGCACTAAGGTTGAGACATTATTATACACTGCCAACAATCTATTAGATGTAAACTGACGTTAATGTTTGAACCCACGTGTGTGTGAGGGGCGACAGTAGCTCAGTTGGTAGAGCATTGGCCTTAAGGCCAGAAGGTCGTGGGTTCAATTCCCACCTCTGCACCTTCTCCACCGACTCCCACTGATGACTGCTGTCGTTGTGTCCTTGGGCAAGACACTTAACCCCACTTTGCCCAAAGCCCCCACTGAAAGATCAAGGCTATGCTCACAGTCAGAGAGCAGCCGTCCTCCTGTGGACTCACCACCTGCAGAGGGTCAGTGAGGGGCTGGTGCTATGAGACTTGGGTGGCATCTCTGACTGCCACCCCCCTGACCCAGAAATGGATTAAAGGGTAGAAAATGGATGGATGGATGGATGACGTTAATGTTGAAGTATGTAAAAACTTCAGTTAGAATAAACCGCAAAACATAGTTTAATTTTGTTGAAGCGGTTGGATCTTCTTTCCATGAAGAAGCAAATTTGATACTAGGAAGAAGGAGGCAAACATTCAAGTCTAACACCTATTAATAGAAGTGAAGGATCAAGCATGAGCTTACTGGGGTTCAGCAATGTAGTATGCATGATTATGAGGACATTCACTGAAGATTTGTTTGCGAAAAAATTATTAGATGGATTTATATTCCCTTATTCACTCAAAAAATTATATCTGATAAATATATATACTTACATATTCAAATCTGTCTTTGCAGAGCTGGACCATAAGGTGGAGAAAGACCAGTGCGGAGAACCATAAACACCACATGACAACTTCCTCTACTGTCTGCACATTTAATACTCCAAAAATGAAAATAAATTTGTAAAAAATAAAGTTCCAAAACTTGTCTTTCAAGTGCTGTGGAAAAAGGACACACAATTAGATGAACACAAATGTAGCCGATACAAATAACTTTTTTGTTAAACGCAGACCTACCTGCTTCTCACTAACTCTTAGCGGTCCAAACACTACATACTGAATCACCTTAGCAACTAACATCAACGAACAACAGAAAGTGTTTACCAAAACCTGCCAAAATAAAAGGTGGTTAAATGTACATAAAGCACAGTGAAATGTGTTACCAACTCAAATGCATGGGACTCACCCAGACAAAAAGACTGTCTGTAACAAGGTACCACAAAACGGTGGTGGCCAATTCTCTGTTACTTATGTCATTGTTCAACTGATCAGGCTCAACTTCAGAAAGGGCAGGTGTTTCCTCAGCTTCCATAACTGTAAAACCTGGATCGGTGACTGTAGTGTAGGCACTGAAGATGCTCCCAGCAAGCAATGCTACACTCAGGGCAGTGTATGTCTGCAGGCTGGGCCACGGGAATCTTTCCAAAAACAACAGCATTTTGGCGGTGTGTAATATTCAGGCCCTGTGATATGAAGAGTAGGCAGAAAGAAACACGATAAGAATAGCTAAAAAACAGCAGCAGGCATTTCAATGGACCATATTGATCAGGGGTTCCCAAAATTGGCCCAAGAGATCAATTTTTTTTTCTGGCGAAAGAGTGTTTCGCAAAAGAATGTGAAATTGAGCCCACTGCAGTAGTGTCCTTAAAAAGGGGGAAAAAAATCAACCAACTTTCTTAAAGAAGATTCACCTTTTACATACAAAATACATCACAGCTGGCTAAAAAAATAGGGCATCTCTAGATGGAGAGCTTTCTCCATCTAGAGATCTTTTTTGCCAGATTCTTGTATGAAAAAAAGTCAAAGTTGTAAAATGTATAGACTTATAACCAAATCACATATTTATAGAAAAGGACCTGAGAAACGAATTAAAATCAAATTAAAATCCAAACAGGCACCATATAGCGTTAGTTCATAGAGTAAATAGAGTTTCAATAATGAAAATTGATCTTGAATTGTCAGTTTATGTGGCTACATTGTGAAATCAGGAGTGCATAACAGACACCAAAGAGTTCCATAACACAGTGTTAGTGAGCAGCTGGGGAAAAGCTGACAGCAAATGCTAGGCTGATCAGAAGCTACTTATGGGCATTACCCAACAAGAAGCCTTAAGCTAACGTCAGCTAACGTCCAATACCAGAGCCATGACGACATTCAACACTCTAATAACTACCAGGTACTTCCAGTGTTGACATTATGTTAAATTAATCAAGAGAGCGGAGTAACCAAATCACCAAAGTCTACGTGCAAATATGTTGACGCCCCTGTCAGCGTCTGGTTACCTGCTGTGCTAGCATGGCTCATACTTCTGATATAAGTCACAACAGCTCGCATTAAACAACGTAGAAATAGCTCATCTACTTTCTCTTTAAGGTCTTAAAGGTGAAACTCACAACTGTAGACGACTTTATGTAGTCCTAATGTCCACGTCCTGTTAATTTCATGTTCCTTCACTGACAACAACACGCCATGTTTGAGAGACGCGACAGGAAGTGGGCCGACTACGGCATCTGCACATGCGCACTCGCGCGCGTACGTCACAAACCACTGATCAACACGAACATACACTCTGGATGGTGATGTTTTGTAAAAGAAAAATATTGTGCATACTTCTTAGAATTGCTTTTTAAGATAAAGACAGTATGTGATTAAAACCCCCACTTTGTGAAAAACTGTTCATGGGGAACTATTCCACAAATGATAAGGTTTACACAAAATTGTATTCCATATAGATTCAGATTCATGCTGCTAAAATCTGGAACAGTCTTCCTGAAAATGGGAGACAGGCCTCCTCTCTGACAATGTTTAAAACCAGGTTAAAGACAGTTCTGTTTAGCTGTGCATACAACTGAGGGATCTTATACAGTATTTGTATCTTTCTTTTTAATGTTCTGTGATTATTTATGATTTTAATGCTTTCTTATTTTGTTCAGCACTTTGAGTTGCCTTGTGTATGAATTGTGCTATACAAATAAACTTGCCTTGCCATAATAGAAAAAGTTGCATCGATGAGACGGACGCACAAGCATGGGCGTCGGACTGGGGGGGTAAAGGGTACCGAGTACCCAGGGCCCAAGGCGGGGAGGGGCCCTCTAAAGTGTGTCTTTATATTTATATGTATTAGGCATTGTGGTATATTCATATTATTACAATTTGAATGAAAGGGGCCCTGTATAAAAATAACCAACGTTTTAACCTCAGTTTTCCTCTAAAAACAAATTTGTATGCTATATCAGGGCCCTGCCACCCCCTTACAAAAGATCAAATGGTACGACCCACATGTGCGCTTGTTGCTGTGTTGCTGCCGCTGCAGCGAGTTGACTTGTTTGACAAGCAGCGGCAGAAGCGGGAAAAATAGAAGTGTCTTTGCCAAAGAAAGGAAAATCAGGATTTCAGAAAAGAAAAGAAAGACAGGACAGGGAGAAAAAGTGTAATGAGGGCAAGCAATTGCTTACTCAGTTCTTCCACATGAGAGGTGAGTATATAGAGACGTGTTAAGGCCACATCAGGAGAAAACCCAGAGACATTTGTTTCTGTATTCTAAACTCACGGAGAGCTAACAGTGTGCCGTGTACGTGGTAAAAAAAAAACGTTATCCAGAGTGACGCACACAGACGCGCAGCTGTAAAGGGAGCTCACACACACTGCTGTCCACTTCTCCTTCAAAGGCAGGCAGCAAAGAGTTATTTTCATGTACAACCCTGTACCCTATATTCCCACTATTGTCATAATCTGTCCGTCCGTGAGTCTTGCAGTCATAAGTCACGGGTCACTCACTGGCCTCTGCATTGGATCATCTGGTTATAACCATACAAATCACACGCCCCCGCACCGATTTGGAGTTTTCTGGTGACATCTAGTGGTCAAAATAATGTAAATAAGTCTAATGGTCTAAAGGTTTCTAGCTCTACAATTATCTTAGTGTGTAAACAAGGGTGAAATGAGACTTTCTGGTGTGTAAACTATTGCTTTTAAGCCAGAAATGACAACTGACAATCACAGCCCAGACCATGCCCAACTGCAAGCCCCCCTTCTTCTCCACTGGTGCCATTTTTACAGAAAAATTTCAAATGTTCATGTGGGCGGAGTAAGGCTAGGCACAGGTGTTTAGTTGAAAATGGAATAGGCTCATTTAAAAAAAGATTGCATCGATTGAATTTTGCCACAAAGTCTAAATTGGTGGATAATAATGAACCATAAAAAGTATTTTGTTGTATGTTTGTACAACAACAAATAAGTAACTTACCTACTCATGGTCCATACAAATAAGATAAGATATACTACATTTTTTATATGAATAGCCATATACACATCACATAAAGGCATGCAGGCATATACGTAATAGCTATACACTGTAATGATGGAATATAGTATCTGTTTGCAACCCATTAAAGCTACTTTATTTCAGTTTCAGGAAGAGAAGCATCATGGCCAGATGAAGGCACTAGTAGTGAGGGTTTGACCAAGGGCGTAGGTTTGCGTGGGGACCATGGGGACATGTCCCCACCAATATTTGGTGAGGACTAAAAAGTCCCCACCAAAATGACATGATGTCCCGTGACCCGGACGGTCCAGGACACATGTCTTCCGTTTGTGCATACGTTGCGCCTCCTCCTCGCCTCCAGAGCAACAGCAGCAGCAGCAGCACGTGACCCGTTCCGTTCTCTGCAGTGATTGGCTGTCTTCTTCAGCGCCAAACTGAAGCACTGAGCGACTGTTTAATTTTTAAAAGTTAGCCAGCGTGAAGCAAGTGTTTTTTTTCTTTCCCTGAGCGTTGTAGCACGCGAGTAATCAGAGGAAAGTACTGTAGATCTATTACCATTCAAAGTACTTACGTTATTTCTAATCTGTCAGCGCACTGTTTAATGTTCCGAGGAGCTCACACGGCATACAGAGACAGAACAGAACTGGCTCCAATAAAGAAACAGGTTGGTTGAAAGGCTGAAAAAATACTTATTGTGCTCTTACTATCCAAAATGTATAAGTGGGTGTGTTGTGTGAATCAGGATAAACTAGGGATGAAAATATTCCACGGATCCACGATTTACAACCTTTATCTGCTGATAATGTAATTTCTGTGAAATGTGTGACAGCACGTCCTGGTGCAACTGCTGCCGCTTTGTAATGACAGCCGCGGCGCTCAGTGAAAGCACAGCTCTAACATGGTACCGAGCTCGGACCATATGCAGACAGAACCATGTTGCAAGTGCGGGTCTCCCTCGTATCTTCCCCGTTTCTCCCCTGTGTCTCTGACATGTCTCTCCCCTGACTCTTCCCAAAGCGCAACCAGCGCGCCCGAAATTAAAGCTCGGATACCTAAATTTTCCATTGCGTTAACGATGCATGCTGGTTGTGCGCAAAACACACCACAACAGGTCATTTAAGTTTTTATTTTGCATACTTGAGAGCCCTGTGAGTCATTACTTGCCTTTTTGGGTTGAGAGTGGAATAAAAAAAAAGAAAATATAGAAAAATCCACACTTTTACTTATTGCCAAACTCTTGTTAACTCATTGTATTGAGAAATACTATGTAACTTTTGACATTGGCCAAGTTATATAAATTATTCTGCAGTTCATGTATGTCTGTTTTTGATTGTCTATACCTTCTTATATAATTTAGAAAAAATGCCACCTCCACAAAAAAAGATAAAGAGCTTTTTTAACAGTTGGAAAGTAAGTAAGAGAAAGCACAAGTAATAGCCAATTATGAATTGTGATGATTAATCTTCTGTTAACATACATAGGAAACTCAACCAACAAGAGAGAACAATATAGGGAATGTTGAGGTAGAAGCAACAGGCCCTTCAGTGCATCAGGCGAGGTTGGAATTTTGTAGGTATGCATGGGACTATGAATTGTTTTTAGAGATTGATCGTATATGTCAAACAATGTAGTGAGCTAGTCACTGTAGATTCTAATTCAATATTTTTTCCTCTGTTTTTATTTATTATAGGAAATTGAAAGATCAGAGCATGATTTATTTCAAGTATCGAGAGCAGTTCCTGAACTGTTAGGGTGCTTTCACACCTGCACCATTTAGTCCACTTATAACGGACTGGAGTCCGGACCACCTGCAAGTACGGTTCGTTTGAGCAGGTGTGAAAGTGGACCAGTTAAAATTAGTCCGGACTAAAGAACCGCACCGAGACCAACTTATGGAGTTGGTCTCGGTGCGGTTCCGGTCTTGTCCGCTGCTGGTGAGAACGCTGACCGGCCTCGATTTTGCCCTTCTCTGGTGCGTAGCTCCCTTTTTGGTCTACCGAAGCTTCCGTAGCAAGCCGCGCGGTGTTCTGGGTAATACAAACTTTTTCCGTAAACATTGTTTTGAAGACGCTGGAAATGAATCGGGGACAAACATGGTCGAAAGAGGAGGTACAGTGCCTCATAGAAATATGGTCAGATGAGCACATTATTTCCCAACTATCGAGCACCCACAAAAATGCGGACATTTTCGCAATTTTCTCAAAACAGATGAGAGAACGCGGTTTCCAACGGTCAGTTGAACAGTGCCGCATTAAAACCAAAAAGCTAAGACAGCAATACATAAAAATACGGGATGCTCTGAAACAAACTGGAGGCACTTCAAAAATTAAAGATAAGTTTGAGTGGTACGAGGCACTGGATAAAATCCTTGGGACAAAGCCTGATGTGGAGCCTATTGACATCGTGGAGTCAAATGAGGAGACGATGGAGCCCCCAACAGATGACACCGAGACCGAAGCAGATGTCCCCGGACTATCTGCGTCACTACATGGTAAGAAACCTTCTCTATGAACACAGTTACAATGTTAAAAGATTAACAATAGTTATTGTGCTGCTGCATTACAGACGAGGAGGCAGATACTAGCCTGGACAGTGACGTCTCATGTGCTCAGGAGAGTGAACCCACTAGAGCCAGCGGGAGGCTTGAGATACCTGGGGCCAAATCAAGAAAAAGAAAAGCAAAGGCCAGGGGACGGGATGACGACTTCGCCAAATATATGGCAGAAAGCCACAAGGTTTTGGAGGAAATGAGGGAGGCAGACACCAGGCAGTTAGAACAGGATCAGGCTCTACAGAAGATGCTCAAAGCGCAACAAGAAGCAGATGAAAGGAGATTTAGTGCCTTGATGACCCAGATGCAAGCCTCAAATCAGCTGATGGCGAATTGTTTTTCACAACTCATTAATATGGTGAACACACAGGTTCCTCCTTCATTATCCTGGTCTGGTGGTCCGTCCCATCAGAGCCCCCCTTATCATGTTCCACACAGCTCCCATCAGCTGCCACCTTCTGGAGCTCCACCACACCACACCAGTCCAGACTATTATAACCTTTAAGATGTATGTTACAATTTGTTGCTATATCTGTGTGTTGTAACATGCATAAGGTTTTAATGTTTCTTATCAGGATGTTTACCTGTGTTTCATGCTTGCAAACTGAGGAAATGTTAAGTTATATCTAAACACAAAGTATGTGTGAAAAGTTTTCTTTAAGTTCAAGATGTAATGTAATGAAATGTTATGAACAACTTTTTTCTATGCAGCACTTTATTGTGTGTACAATGCACATTTGTTTGAATTGTTGACATTGACAGTCAAGTAAATAAAACTTACAAACAAATATTGTCTTTAAACATTTAAATGTGCTGTAATTCAGAACAGGCACATAAGTCGAAATATTACAAAAAGTCATTGACCAAACAATCACAAAAGTCAACGTAATAATTTTGAATCATCTGCAACAAAAATGTAACTGACTCTGCAAAACTGATCTCTTTTTAAGGTTAACATGAGAACATTCATGCTAATAGACATACTAACAAAAACACGTATTTACAAAGTTGAAAAATATCTACACAGGGCATTGCGGATCTCTGATTGTTGTTGATAATCACCACCTCTCCCCTCTGGAACAGCTTCAACATCGTCATCAGCGTCAGTGTCTCCATTCAAATAATTCTCATTATGCATTTCCACAAAGTTGTGCAAAACACAACATGCTGAAACAATTCGACTCACAAATGTAATATGGGCATCACATGTCTTCAACAGGCAACGCCATCGTCCTTTAAGGTGCCCAAACGCACGCTCAACTGTCATGCGAGACTGACTCAGTTTGAAGTTGAAGTTGATCTGGTCAGCTGTAACCCCTGCTCCCTCTGGATAAGGTTTCATGAGCCATGGGAGGAGAGGATATGCGGAGTCCCCCAGCAGAACCAGAGGCACATCTACGCCTTCAAATGCTTCCGTCCAGTCCGGGAATAAAATGCCATTAACCCCTCTTTGATATAAAGAAGACAGGGCAAATACCCGCGCATCGTGTATTTTGCCTGCACGACCCACGTTTATGTCCCAAAATCTCATGCGATGATCTACTACAGCCTGAAGAATGATAGAGTAGTCCCCTTTTCGGTTGTAGTAAGAGGCAGAGTTCTCTGATGGTGCACGTATTTTAATGTGTGTACCATCAATGGCACCTGCCACTTGAGGGAAACGCCATTTGTCTCTAAACCCCTGTACAATAGTTCTCATCTCTGCTGCAGTGGGATGGTGAATGAACTTTGATTTCAGGACGACGTTAATAGCAGTTACCACCTCTTGAGTGATGAGACAACAAGTGGAAAGTCCCACACCAAACAGATGTGAAATAGATCTATATTCAAGGTTGGTGGCTAGCCTCCAAATACAGATTCCAACTCTAAGTTCAACTGGCACAGCCTGCCTGTATTTGGTGTTGAGACGAGTCAACCAGGGGCGAAGCAGATTGCATAGTGTGTTGAAAGTGGTTCTTCCCATTCTGAAGTTTGCACTCCACTCAACATCTGTCCAGCTGTGAGTCACAAACTGCCACCAGTCGCCAGGTCTTCTGTGGGTCCACACACTCCTATGAAAGCATACACAACATTATTTTTCTACTCATAGCATGTACATGTTGGTATTGTAATGGTTTAGTGACACTAGAGTATGTGGGTACAGTGACAGCATTTTGTTTTTTAATATAATAAAATAGTCAATATTCGGTATTGCAACAATAATCAATAGTAAATAACTGATGATTCTCCGTTTATCCCCGTCAATTTCCCTTCACCTTCGTTTTGCGTAAATAGACCAACAGTTCCCTTAATCCTACATGATGATAGGAAGATAATCTTACCGGAGAGAATTCCGAAAATGCCTCCGAAAAAGAAGTTGGTTCAAGTTTTGCAGTTTGGTTCTTTTTCGGAGATAGTGTTTTGCAACACGTCTTCTCCGCTCCAAAAACAGCCGCAAAGTGTTCTCGCGCTGAATCCTCGATACATGTTGGAACAACTGCAGTATTTGTGCTTGCTGGACCATGAAACGATGATAAAAAAACAGTCACAAACGCGAGCAGAGTAGCACGGTTCATAGTGGAGAATTTGACCGGTTTGTTTTCTTCCGGGATTTTTCCCTCTTCACATCTTGCGCCAATCAGCTTTCACCTACGTCATCCAATACACAGTATTTTGTGAACAGCGCCACCACATGGCTGGCGCTGTTCACAAACATCCACACTGGTTGGTTCATTTGCAAAAACACTGGTGTGAATGAGAACCAAACTAGTTGAGAACTGCAACATTGTAACAACTTTAGGGACCAAGCGAACCACTTTACTGGACCAACAGGTGTGAAAGCACCCTTAGAGCCTCAGGTGAGGGCTATTATGTAGATTTGGATTAGGTTTAAGTCAGTATAGAATGAACGCAACACAAAACTCAGAAGCTCTGATCCAATTGATTTTGTTTTAACTATTAGAAAAAATCCTTAACTGCTTCTCATTCAGTCTACAGCTGAGTTTAGTATAGAAGGCAACACACTATTGCAAATATAGTGTGTGATTACACAACAAATTCTGGGGGAGAAACTCTGGACCCCGTGTCAATGGGTGTAGACTCAGGTCGTAGTGAATGTCCCCACCAAGATTGGAACCAAACCTACACCATTGGGTTTGACAGTGAGGCATAATTAAATATATATATATATAAGAAACGTGTAGTGGGGGCCCATTGAGACTGTTTGTACCCGGGGCCCAGAATTTGGTGCTACCCCCCTGTATATAATAATACGAAACGCAATTTGTGGCGGGCGGTCTCTAATCTGTGGCGGTGCGCCACAGATTAGTCTATGTGTGGGAAACACTGATCTGACAACAATAAAGTACAATTACAGAACGTTTCTTACCATGCTGATGAAGGCAGGGTTGTTGATCAAGCTGGCCATGTCAAAGCCCAACCCAGCCGCTAACTGTGACACAAAGATAGGCAAGGCAAGGCAAGGCAAGTTTATTTATATAGCACAATTCATACACAAGGCAATTCAAAGTGCTGAACAAAACAAGAAAGCATTAAAATCATAAATTATCACAGAACATTAAAAAGAAAGATAAAAATATAAAATCCCTCAGTTGTATGCACAGTTAAACAGAACCGTCTTTAACCTGGTTTTAAACATTGTCAGAGAGGAGGCCTGTCTCACATCTTCAGGAAGACTGTTCCAGATTTTAGCAGCATTAATCTGAAAAGCAGCCTCCCCATGTTTAGTTCTGACTCTGGGCACTAACAGGAGTCCAGTCCCTGTGCTCCTCAGAGTCCGGGCTGGTTCATATGGGACTAACATGTCACTAATATATTTTGGTGCGAGGCTATGGAGAGACTTGTACACAAGCAGAGCTGTTTTAAAGTCTATTCTCTGAGCCACAGGAAGCCAGTGCAGAGACCTGAGGACTGGACTAATGTGGTCGTACTTCCTGGTTCTTGTCAGGACTCGAGCTGCTGCATTTTGAATGTACTGCAGCTGTTTTACAGCCTGTTTGGACAGACCTGTGAGCAGGCCATTGCAGTAGTCTAACCTACTGGAGACAAATGCATGGATAAGAATCTCCAAGTCTGCTTTAGACACTATGTTTTTGATCCTGGCAATGTTTTTTAGATGGTAAAAAGCTGCTGATGTTACTGATTTGATGTGGCTTTTAAAATTTAAGTCTGAGTCCAGTATTACCCCTAGATTTCTGACCTTGTTTGAAGGTTTTAGGGAGAGAGACTGTAGGTGACAGATGACGCTCTCTCTTTGTTTCTGGGGACCAAAGACAATCATTTCAGTTTTGTCTGCGTTTAGCTGAAGGAAGTTGTTTTGCATCCACTCACTGATCTGTTGGATACAGTGAAGGAGTGAGTCCACTGGTCCATGTTCTCCTGCAGTCAGTGAGACATAGATCTGAGTGTCGTCTGCATAGTTATGATAGGAAACTTTGTTTCTGCGTATTAACTGACCTAACGGCAGCATGTAGAGATTGAACAGAAGAGGTCCCAGGATCGACCCCTGTGGGACTCCACAGGTCAGGGCCATATGATCTGAGACACAGTTTCCAATCTCCACAAAGTACTTCCTGTCTTCAAGGTAAGACCTAAACCAACTTAGGGCGGTGCCAGTGACGCCAACCCAGTCCTCTAGTCTCTGTAAGAGGATCTCATGGTCGACGGTGTCAAAGGCAGCACTTAGATCTAACAAGATTAAGATTGAGACTTTGCCTGCGTCAGTGTTCAGCCGGATATCGTTTGTAACCTTAACGAGAGCAGTCTCAGTGCTGTGGTGGGGTCTAAAGCCGGACTGAAACATATCAAATGAGTTGTTGATTATAAGAAATCTAGTAAGCTGTAGGTAGACAACTTTCTCAAGGACTTTCCCCATAAATGGCAGATTTGAGATGGGACGATAGTTGTTAAGTACAGTGGCATCCAGACTGCTCTTTTTTAGCAGGGGCCTGATGACTGCAGTTTTCAGGGCCTTTGGGAATATTCCAGAATGAAGGGACATGTTTACTATCTGTGTGAGTGAAGGTAACAGACTGCTCAGAACAGACTTCAGAAATCTAGTGGGTAGTACATCCAGGCTGCATGTGGAGGAGCTCAAACTGGAGATTATCTCTTGGACAGTTTTATCATTTACAGGTGCAAAGTGAGTTAGCTCAGAGAGCCTTTCTGGTTGTTGGATGGTTATCTGTGGATTGGAGACAATGGCGCTTTTGATGCCTTGAACCTTGTCATTGAAAAAATTAGCAAACTCATTGCATTTACGTTTGGAAGTAAGCTCTAATGGCATTTGAACAGGGGGGTTTGTTAATCTATTAACTGTTGAAAACAGAACACGCAGATTGTTGCTGCAGCCTTCAATCATTTCAGAAAAATACCTTTCTCTCGTACTACGTAGCACCCGGTTAAACTCGCACAACTTATCTTTGAAGATCTCGTAATCTACCGTAAGATACATAACACATAAGACTGCAGTCAAATTGTGATTCATTTTAGACCGTTTTGTTTTGACTTACCGGACTAGTTGCTTCTTTAAGTTTCTGTTCGGCAATTTTCAAGTTGGATTTATATGTATCATTGTCTGGATCCAAGACCAAAGCTTTCTTGAAATATGAAATGGCTTCTGGATATTTGCTCATAGATGTCAAAGCCAAGCTATAACAGAAGCAATGCGTACAGAAATAAACATTTAGTCGTTGTATATACAGTACACACAAAAACAGTGCAGCTTACCCCATTCTTCCATATGCTTTACTGTATGTAGGATCGATCTTTATGGCTCTCTCACAGTCGCTGGTCGCCTCTGTGTAATTACCCAATTTACTGTGCGCTGCAGCCCTGGAAAAATAGAGAGACATAGTATTATATAGACGTAGCATAGGGTTAGTTGTAGTTGCATTCAAACAAAATCACACATAAGGACTATTTTAACTGGGACTCTTTGGACTGCATTAACATTTAGATTAAGAGATCCTTTAATTTATCCCACAGTGGGGAAATTTCACTGTGGCATCACTGATAAACAAGCAGATAACAATAACTATATAATAATAATCAGAATAATCAGAATAATAATAATGAATTGGTTTTGTATAGATTTTTTTGGACACTCAAAGGCGCTTCACATCATCATTCATTCACTCCATACACGGTGATAATGAACTACATTGTAGCCACAGCTGCCATGGGGCACACTGACAGAAGCGAGGCAACCAGTCTGTGCCATTGGGCCCTCTAACCTCCACCAACCGTTCACACACACACACCACACTCCTTCTCGGCAATGTGGGTGGAGTGTCTCTTGCCTAAGGACAGATAAAATCTCAAGTATAAAATCTCTAGCTTTAGCATAATAAGGAAGGGAATCTAATGTTTTCCAATGTTTGCATAATGAAGACGAAAGAATTAAGTGTAAAATCTCTGACTTTAGCATAATGAAGCAAGCAAGAATAAAAAAATACTGTATATTCTAGTGTGTGAAATATATAGTTATAAAGTATACATCTGTTCAAGTCTTATATTTTAATCAATCTATCAACTGTACATTTATTGTGTTTTTAATGCTGACTTTGGGGTTTGTTTTATGTGGTGATTTGTGCCTTTTGTGATGTGGGCTGTGAAGAGCTTTGTGTTGCCCTGTTCAGGAAAGGCGCTAAAGATTGATTGATTGATAAAAGATAAAATCCTGCTCTACACTCACACATTTATCGACATATGTGCACAGAGTTGTCGCTGTTGTGTGTACCTATTTGAGTAGTAAACAGCGTTCCTCAGATCCAGATCGATGGCCTTGGTGTAACACTCCAGTGCACAGTGGTAGTTCTCCTCTTTCATGTGGTTGTTTCCTAAATATAAGATGAGAATGTGAATACAACATCAAAACAAACTCATCATGTATGCAGAAATATGTTACAAAATAAAGCTGGGGTGCTTAATATTAATCATAAATAATAAGTACATTATACAGTCTTACAATGTTGTGATGAAATTAGACCACAACAGTCTTCTTTATTGTATTATAAAACATTGTATCTTTTGTATGCTTATGGGAAAAAAACCTTGTCGGTCTTTATTATCATATCATTTTGTTTATTACTTAATTGTGTCATCTTCATTAGGTCACACTCCCCCCCCCCCATAATACATACAACAAAAGATTTTATTTTTTCCTGCTTTCCCAGCGTCATTAGTTGATGCTTTGGGCTGAGAGCTGATCCAATCTAAAAATGTGACAGAGGGCAAAGACACATGCACGTGGAAACTAGACCAAGGAATTCAATGGATTGCTATTACTAAAGCCCCATTCTCACCAGCCCCACTTAGCCCTACTCCCCCCTCGGCCCTATACTCTACTCAACTCGTTTCTACTCTACTCTACTCTGCTTTTCCTGGTTACGTTTCCATTTTGCTTTCTCATATCTGGTAATCTATCCAAAACAAACCAGTTTCAGGGGAAATTCTTTGGTAACCATGGCTTCCAGCAACACTCTAACCCAGGGGTGTCCAACTCATTTTGGTCGGGGGCCAAATAAAAAAAACATAAAAGCTGGTTGGGGCAAAAAGAGTGTGTATATTATTTTCTGGTAGATTTAGAATAAACCAAAACTGGGCCAAAAATCAAGAAGAGATGCATTTGAAGAGTGATAGTTTAAGAGAAAAAAAGAATCTTTGGCCTAACTTAACTAAATACATTAAAAAGATTAATTTATATGTCTGTTTTCCTGATGGGAGAGTCCTACACTGGTCACCTTTAAAACTCAAATCAAAAAATGGCTAGTGGTCATGTGACCACTAGACTCTTCACTTTTTTCTGTGCTGTCTGTATTATTTTGTATTTTATTTTATTGTATGTTGTCATCTCTTGTCATGCATTTTCCTGCCTAGGGACTACGGATGAAAACTAGCTCTGTAGCTATAATCCAGCATATTTACATTTGTTTTATACTGATGTTCATTAATGTGCATTGTCCCTATCAAATAATTAAATAAATAAAATAATAAAAATGATGTTACGCGTATAACATTCCATAGCAGCCCATTTCCATCAAATGCTTCAAGGTAATGTAACTTAAATTTAAAATAATTTAAATTGCCAATAAAAATGGTCTCAGGGGCCGGATTTGACCCTTGGGCCTGAGTTTGACATGCCTGGTCTAACCAATACAAGCTTGATCTGGATCTAACCAGAGCCAAGCAGATAATAAGAAATACCTGGTGCCAGTAGAAAAGCTCCCAATCGGGGTAGAGTAGAGCTGAGTAGAGTAGAGTAGGGTCAAGTAGGGCTGGTGGAAATGGGGCTATAGTTCGGATTTGTTTGTAGTTTAAAAGTTACACACCCCAGCTTTAAAACATGCAGCACTACTAAAGTAAACGCAACAGCCCTCTTAAAGCCTAGTGGAGCAGTGTGCACACGTTTGGTGCTTTCACATTTCCACAAACAAAGTATTATTAGCTCCAAGTGAACCAGATGTCAGCCCGACTGTGCCAATGCTATCACCTTCGTTCTTCAGTTGTTCTGCTTTCTCCGCGTCCTCTGGAGATGGTGAAGTATCTTGTGACGTGACATCGTTCTATTACAAAACCAAATAGCAATTAATAATAATAAGTCACACGCATTGGCAAAACAAAAGAGTTGACCCCACTCTAACCTTCAGCAAAGCGTTATGGAAAATCTCTCTCAGCGGCTCAATCAAAGCAAGGTGGCCGTCTCTGGAGTTGATTTTAAAGGTTGTCTCCAAACATTGTATTGCCACTGCGTAAAAGCAAACAATTAACTATTCAGTGTTAGTAACAGACAGATTTGAAGGTGTAGCAGCCGACCTACCTTCAAGGCTTTCTTGCTCATCAGAATTTAACGTCCCAGAGTTGGTTTGATCCCGTAAAAACTGGACAATGGAGTAAGCCAGACGCTTTTCCACGGCCATTTTCACCTGAAAATAGAGTAAATAGTGTTTTAAAACCTTTTGATGTTTTTAGGTATAGGAAGATTTTTCATAATTTTAGGAAAGAATTGGCCTCTCCAAAGGGAACGCCTACTAAAACTCAAATTCTTACACACATTTCCACAAAAAAATCCACAAGCAAATCCATTTAATACATGTATTGAGTCATTTACCGATTATACATGCAATTATTTTAGTCATAGATGTCAACTTATGATTTATGCAGCTAAACTCTTCCTGAAAATGTGAGACAATGTTCGGCTCCGCAGGTTAAAACAGTTCTGTTTCGCTGTGCATGCAACGAAAGTATTGTGTCTTCACTTGTTATAATGTGGTGTCTAGGATTGTTTAGAATTTTAATGCCTTGTATTATTGTTTTTTTAAGAACTTTGAGTTGCCTTATATGAACTGTGCTATACAAATCAACTTGCCTTTGCCTTACTTGACCTTAACTGAACCAAAATCCCAGACCCAGGCTATATTCGATTGTATCTAGACTTTCAATCTGAAGTCATTCCAAAAGTCCCCTGGAACATAAATCATTCCCGCCACTGGAACTCTGGCTTGTGGACCTGGTACCCCTGGTTGGGAAACACTAGACTAGTATAATTGTTTGAAGATTTGAGTATGCTTTTTCCCTCTCTTCATGTTATACCACATCACCTGGAATGTTGCATAATGTGACAGTGAATATCGGCAGCAGTATTTAGAAGCCACAGGTCAAGTTACGTGTCAAATCATAATAAATAGTGCCAAAGCCCAGAGGAGAGGAATTGGACTCGGGTCAGACAGGAGTCACTATTTTGATGACAAGACTTAAATATAAATGGACTACTTGGCTCTCAACTTATAGACTCTGAAGCCAGTGACTCAGGAGTGGGAGGCCAATATTCAGGCCTTTTAAAATCATGGCCATTGCAAAATAATAATAAAATAAATACTAGTAAGAAGATATAGTAAGTAAGTAAGATATCACAAAGTGCGGTACAAGGTAAAAGCAGATATGTATATACAATAGAAAATAAAAATCGAAAATAACAACATAAAAACAAGAAATGAACCAAAAGGGATTAAAGACACTCTTTAATCCCTTTTTAAAAGCATCGATAGAGTTGACCACACGGAGGGACAGAGGCAAAGCGTTCCACAGTCTGGGGGCGACAGACTGGAAGGACCGGTCCCCCCGGGTCTTATAGCGGGTCTTTGGGACCGCAAGTAAATTCTGGCCTGCGGACCAAAGAGTGCGGCCAGAACAGTATGGGGTCAAGACTAGGTCCGAGATGTAACAAGGAGCGTGACCATTTAAGGCTCTGAAAGTTAAAACTAAAATGTTTAAATCAATACAAAATTTAATTGGGAGCCAAGGAAGTGAGTCGACTGGGGTGAGGTGAGACCACCGGGGGGTTCCTGTTAAAGGTCTGGCAGCGGAATTTTGCACAAATTGAAGTCTGCACTCTTATTAAGGCATGTAAACAATGAGTTGCAGTAGTCGAGACGTGTGGAAACAAAGGCATGAATGATCATCTCCAAGTCCTTCTGTGACAATATGTTTCAAATTTTGGATATGTTTCTGAGATGATAAAAGCAATTTCTAACGAACTGTTTAGAGTGTGTGTCCAGATTCAGGGCCTGATCAAAAACAACCCCCAGGTTTCTGAGGGTGGATGTGACAGAGGGACAACGTAACGCTCAGGAACTCAAACTAACCATTGGATTTTGCAACAAGACATCAATAATATATGTTTGGTACATGAATGGGCAATGTAACAGTCAAAATAAAATAAAAAGAATAAAAAAAACCAAAGTGCAAAGCCCTAACTCACTACAGCAGTCGTCTTGGAGGAATGTAAAAAGTTGTTGATTCGCTAACAACCATGGGCTAACAACAAATCAGAGAGTCAAAGGAACACAGGAAATTTAATAATAATAACAGATAGGAGCCACTGGTCCATGGGAAACGGGATGACCAATGTCCATACGTAATAAAAACTGTCCCTAAATGTCCTCACATGTCCTTAAATGCAACTAGTTGGACATAGAAGCTGATAAACTCTGACTAAGCAGTGGATTTGGCAAAAAGGCGTCAATAACATATATATGAATGGCCAATTTAAGGGCCAAGAGTATATGTATTTGAATAAAAAACCCAAACTGAACCTAGATTACTGTCATCACGTGATGATGCTTGTGTTGTGATGTCCAAGAATCTGCCACAGTTCACTCCTCCCTCAACGTGTGTGCCATATTCGCCACACGTAAATGTATTGATACACAATGTAAGAGGATAACAACATCACACACACACACACAACGGAATAAAACGAGCAATGCATAACCATTACCCGATGATAACACACTACAACCTGGACAGGCATCGTGATTTTTTTTGTTATTACATTAAAATGGCAGTTTTTTCCTTCAGCATCAGCATCCGTGTGGAGTGATGGTGCAGCCCGGGAGTGAAACAGTTAAATTATAAGAAAAGAATGGACGCGGTGCCAAAACACGACAGAGTTTCAATACAATACAGCATGTTTTCTTAGGATAAAATGCGATCCCGCCCACCTACCTAAGCGCTCCTGGTTTCCTTTGCCATTAACCGCGTCATGCGCTCAATGCACAAGCCCAGCCGCACCGTGGACCAGAGACTGCATCATCTGCGCATGCGCACTGGCACCGACTACGGAAATAAACACATTTTCCACACGAGTCAGATCAGTCAGACACAGAACAAAACTACAATCGCACTAGAAACACACACACACACACACACACACAGGAGCTCCAGGCTGCAGAGGACAGCTCTAGTAAGAACTCTGGTGAAATGCATGGAGTGCTTGGCTTAGTGTGCGCCCGGGGAGGGAGAATGGGTTTTAAACTATTCAGGTGAGTGCATATATGCTTTAATTCAATTCATTGTACATTTTGCATAACCCTAAATCACAACAGCAGAAGTCTCGGAGGACTGTACAAAGTTGTCGATTCGCAGACGAGAAGAAGAAGAGATCAGAGAAAGAGTTCGATTGGTCCATAGGGAGCGGGATGCAATGAACTATTGAACTATAATTCAATTCAACTTTATTACAGACTATAGGTCCTATTAATACAACTATGTATTACTTGCACTAGAATACACAGTACTTTATTCTTGATTCTTATGATGCCAAAGGTAGAGATTTTATACTTCTTCATTATGCTAAAGTAAGTTTTTTCTACTAATTTTGCTAAAGATAGAGATTTTATACTTGTTTTTTTCATGCTAAAGTTAGAGATTTATTTTATTTTATTTTATTTAGTATTGAGTTAATGCAAGCATTTATCTTGCTACTCATTCCTACTGTTCTGTAACTGGTGATGCAACACTGAAATTTCCCCACTGTGGGACGAGTAAAAGATCTTTTTATCTAAATCTTAATCTTAAAGGTATATAAGATTTAGGAAAGAACTGCCCTTTCCACTTTTCTAACAAAACTCTCTGGTCTTAATCTGGTCAAGATCAGGATCAATAGTGTTAATGATCCACCCGGAAGTAGAAAATCCTCCTATATACCTTTAATGTCCTTTAATGTCCTTAAATGCAACCAGGCTATTAAAGCATGCCTGATTGCAATCACAACATAAAGCATTGTGGTGTTTTATGCCTAATCCATGTTCATGTAGTAACATGAATACAATAAGTTCATATCCCGGTTCTGTAATCTCCTGCACGTTCTGTGTGATGTTGTGATTTGTCGCCGCTTCAGTTTGCGGTTACACCTCTACAAACGTGTTTTGAAATACTTCTGATGCATGAAACCTTAACTGAGTGGTCATGAGAAAGGTCACTCCTTAGCAAAGGGGAGAATGCACTGTGACCGAGTGGCCTTAAACGTGCACCTGTTGTTTCAGAAAGCAGTCATAATTAGGTTCACAATAGTATGTCTAACGCACTATCATTTCCCAACTGGTCAAAAAAAGTGATAATAAAATGATGTGAGAAGTAAAGAAGCTTATTACGGAAGCTTATTGCATTCACTTGAATTAAAAAAGTTTCTACTATACTCATAAAAACAGAAACTTTTTTAAATCAAGTGAATGCAATAAGCTTCGGTAGAGAAGATCAAAATTAAGACTTTTTTCTCTTTTGAGCTTGTTTGATTTTCTGTCTATAATACTTTGAGACTCTGCATTGTTAACACTAGAACTCCCAGAGCAGTCACTTTGACGGCTTTTAGTTTTGGAAGCGTAATTAATTAACTTAAGATTTTCAATTAACTGTTTTTGCTGTATTTCAGTTATATTACCAACACTTATTAAAGGTGAGTAAAGGTAAACCCTTATTAATGACTTAAACAATTAAACATTTTGGGGGGGACAATCCTCAGAATTCCGTAGATTTCAATGGGAGCAGTCAAAATAATTTTTCTGGGAGTTACAGTGGTATAATTTTGGGACTCTGAGTGTTAATATAGCCTGCAGAGTCTCATCTTTGTTTGTTGGTGGTGTGCCATGTGATTGAGTATAGCCCCGTTTCCACCAGCCCTACTCGGCTCTACTCTACCCTGATAGGCTCTATGCACGCACCACTTCCGCGTTTTAGCTAAAGCCCCACTTCACTTCCTGTTCGCGGGAAACAGCTTGAGTTTCACTGGAGTTCAGCAGTGGTTTACACAAATTTCCCAAATAATGCTCAAGCGGGAATTAAACTGTGAGGATACTGGGCATTTTTGGGACACAGCAGTGCTCTTTGATTGTGCTGTCATTGTGTTTTTATAAAGTTTAAAAATCGCTCTGAGTGGCCACAGTCAAAGCTCTACCTCAGAGAGAAAGCACAGCATTACTTTTGGGTCAGTCTCACAGCTGAATGTATCAATCTAATTACTAAAAAAACGTCACTAAAACTCACCTAAATGCCATAGGATAGCATAGGCAGGAAGTGAACGGGCTGTATTTTGTTAACAGGAAATGACGTCACGCCTCCCCGTGCATAGCCCATTGGGAGA